TGACAACGACCTTGAAGATGACCTTGACGATGAGGGCGAATTTATTGCTGAAGAATGTGATTTTGATGATGGAGATGACTGTATGAATGGTGTTGATGATGATGCGAGTGGAGAAGACGACGAAAAGCGTGATGGTGTGATTCTCTTGACAACGACCTTGAAGATGACCTTGACGATGAGGGCGAATTTATTGCTGAAGAATGTGATTTTGATGATGGAGATGATTGTATGAATGGTGTTGATGATGATGCGAGTGGAGAAGACGACGAAAAGCGTGATGGTGTGATTCTCTTGACAACGACCTTGAAGATGACCTTGACGATGAGGGCGAATTTATTGCTGAAGAATGTGATTTTGATGATGGAGATGACTGTATGAATGGTGTTGATGATGATGCGAGTGGAGAAGACGACGAAAAGCGTGATGGTGTGATTCTCTTGACAACGACCTTGAAGATGACCTTGACGATGAGGGCGAATTTATTGCTGAAGAATGTGATTTTGATGATGGAGATGACTGTATGAATGGTGTTGATGATGATGCGAGTGGAGAAGACGACGAAAAGCGTGATGGTGTGATTCTCTTGACAACGACCTTGAAGATGACCTTGACGATGAGGGCGAATTTATTGCTGAAGAATGTGATTTTGATGATGGAGATGATTGTATGAATGGTGTTGATGATGATGCGAGTGGAGAAGACGACGAAAAGCGTGATGGTGTGATTCTCTTGACAACGACCTTGAAGATGACCTTGACGATGAGGGCGAATTTATTGCTGAAGAATGTGATTTTGATGATGGAGATGACTGTATGAATGGTGTTGATGATGATGCGAGTGGAGAAGACGACGAAAAGCGTGATGGTGTGATTCTCTTGACAACGACCTTGAAGATGACCTTGACGATGAGGGCGAATTTATTGCTGAAGAATGTGATTTTGATGATGGAGATGACTGTATGAATGGTGTTGATGATGATGCGAGTGGAGAAGACGACGAAAAGCGTGATGGTGTGATTCTCTTGACAACGACCTTGAAGATGACCTTGACGATGAGGGCGAATTTATTGCTGAAGAATGTGATTTTGATGATGGAGATGACTGTATGAATGGTGTTGATGATGATGCGAGTGGAGAAGACGACGAAAAGCGTGATGGTGTGATTCTCTTGACAACGACCTTGAAGATGACCTTGACGATGAGGGCGAATTTATTGCTGAAGAATGTGATTTTGATGATGGAGATGACTGTATGAATGGTGTTGATGATGATGCGAGTGGAGAAGACGACGAAAAGCGTGATGGTGTGATTCTCTTGACAACGACCTTGAAGATGACCTTGACGATGAGGGCGAATTTATTGCTGAAGAATGTGATTTTGATGATGGAGATGATTGTATGAATGGTGTTGATGATGATGCGAGTGGAGAAGACGACGAAAAGCGTGATGGTGTGATTCTCTTGACAACGACCTTGAAGATGACCTTGACGATGAGGGCGAATTTATTGCTGAAGAATGTGATTTTGATGATGGAGATGACTGTATGAATGGTGTTGATGATGATGCGAGTGGAGAAGACGACGAAAAGCGTGATGGTGTGATTCTCTTGACAACGACCTTGAAGATGACCTTGACGATGAGGGCGAATTTATTGCTGAAGAATGTGATTTTGATGATGGAGATGATTGTATGAATGGTGTTGATGATGATGCGAGTGGAGAAGACGACGAAAAGCGTGATGGTGTGATTCTCTTGACAACGACCTTGAAGATGACCTTGACGATGAGGGCGAATTTATTGCTGAAGAATGTGATTTTGATGATGGAGATGACTGTATGAATGGTGTTGATGATGATGCGAGTGGAGAAGACGACGAAAAGCGTGATGGTGTGATTCTCTTGACAACGACCTTGAAGATGACCTTGACGATGAGGGCGAATTTATTGCTGAAGAATGTGATTTTGATGATGGAGATGATTGTATGAATGGTGTTGATGATGATGCGAGTGGAGAAGACGACGAAAAGCGTGATGGTGTGATTCTCTTGACAACGACCTTGAAGATGACCTTGACGATGAGGGCGAATTTATTGCTGAAGAATGTGATTTTGATGATGGAGATGATTGTATGAATGGTGTTGATGATGATGCGAGTGGAGAAGACGACGAAAAGCGTGATGGTGTGATTCTCTTGACAACGACCTTGAAGATGACCTTGACGATGAGGGCGAATTTATTGCTGAAGAATGTGATTTTGATGATGGAGATGACTGTATGAATGGTGTTGATGATGATGCGAGTGGAGAAGACGACGAAAAGCGTGATGGTGTGATTCTCTTGACAACGACCTTGAAGATGACCTTGACGATGAGGGCGAATTTATTGCTGAAGAATGTGATTTTGATGATGGAGATGACTGTATGAATGGTGTTGATGATGATGCGAGTGGAGAAGACGACGAAAAGCGTGATGGTGTGATTCTCTTGACAACGACCTTGAAGATGACCTTGACGATGAGGGCGAATTTATTGCTGAAGAATGTGATTTTGATGATGGAGATGACTGTATGAATGGTGTTGATGATGATGCGAGTGGAGAAGACGACGAAAAGCGTGATGGTGTGATTCTCTTGACAACGACCTTGAAGATGACCTTGACGATGAGGGCGAATTTATTGCTGAAGAATGTGATTTTGATGATGGAGATGACTGTATGAATGGTGTTGATGATGATGCGAGTGGACAAGTCGATGAGTATCCTATGATTAAAATATTTCTTTTATATGTCCCTGTTAACCATGGATTCTCATATTTTGCGATATATATTCCGAGCTAATCGTATATGTGTGATGTGTTAACTATACTCTTTTGATTAAATTTTTGTCCTCCTCTCTCAGTTAACGATGGTGTGTTGGTGGGATTTTGCAATCTTAGGGACGAAGAGATATATATGATCGAGTGTGGATGTTGTTTTACATTCTGCTTACCTAATGAAGCTTTCTTTCCATTCTTTGTACGTAACTCGCGGAACTCTGAATTAAGCTTTCAAAAAGATATTCAAACAGCAGTTACGCCCACACCGTATCAAATAATCACAAACACAACAAGCTGAGAGTGAAACAGTACTAAACTTAAAAAAGATCCAGATTTATTCCACTTGAATAGTTTTTCATTAAGTCTATTCAACCAATAGGCACCTGTCTAACTGGTTACGATCAAGCTATGAAATCAATGACATTAAAATCATATAACCATTTTTTTAACGGAAAAAAAGTGTACGTTTGAGGTAAGAAATATAATCTTACATCAAAAAAAGATAAAACGATTATTTTCACAGTTGAAATCATGAGCTGATTGAAGGAAAATCTGGAAGCACTGGAAGGCCGTCTCGTCCTATTGTAGGACTCCCCAACAGTGTGCATCCACGATCCCGCCTCGCGAGATTCGAAGTTACACATCACCACTATCGGATACCGGCTCAGTGGTCTGTCGGTTAAGTGCTCTGGTGCGAGACTAGTAGGTTCTGTGTTTGAATCTCACAATGTGACATCGCGGATGCGCACTGATGAGAAGTCCCACAATAGGACGAAACGGTCGCCCAGTGCTTTCAGGTTTTCCTTGGTGCTCTAGTTTCAATTGACTCATGATTTCAACTATGATAATAAATATTAGTTAAAATTATTAGTCTTAATTTGTTGTTCGCAGATACTACTGATTCTACATGAGTTATTTTATTTATTTAAACACATAAATATTGGTAAAAAGAGGGACCAGATATAAAAGCACCACACAAATCTCATTTGATTTGTATGAGAACTGTGACACTGCCCGGGTGTCCAAACTGATACAGGTGGTTTAATCAGTGGGGCACGACCGGAGACTTTGACCTAAAGATCCTATCCACAAGGCAATAGAGCATCGCAGTCCCATGGTAGCTGGTGATCAACGATTGGTCCATACACCATTTGTTCCCTTAGGATCCTTGAGCCCATGTGCACCACTGGTTCGGAATGAGTGTGTTTCAACTCCCCTAGGTGAACTTTCCATGTCTATCAACCCGGTTAAAGCGCCGGACATTCGCTTTTGGTTCTCTCAATTTCGTAAACAACACACCGGGCTGAGAAGGCAGTGAGTAGGACTTTCCTGACAGAGGCTATATACGCGTGGCCATGTGAGAGCACTTCGTGAGAGAGAGACGGTGGGTCCTTCCCACTCCCGGAAGTAACAGGGCATTTGGGGGTATATACAATCTAAAATGATCACATTATTTGAAAATAAGTGGAATTTCAGCTTAAGAAATCTTTGTAGACTCATTACTAGTCACTGATCTAATCAATCATGTAAGAATCCTATGATTAGAACTGATATGATTTTCATTAAAGATATTAGCTCTTCATCTTAGGATATTTGTTAAGTGCCATTTTCAACCAGTTATGGATTTCAAAACCATACTTGTCTATCAATGTACCTGATCATTAAACATCCATCCAATGGCTTACAAAAGAAGTTCTACTAAGTTTTCTGAGACTATTCATGGTCTAGTGATTTAGTGCTCGCGCGCGAGACTGATAGGTCCTGGGTTCGAATCTCGTCAGGCGTGATCGTGTATGCTTACTGCTGAGGAGTCCCATAATAGGACGTAACCGCTGTCTAGTGCTTCCAGGTTTTCCATGATGGTCTAGCTTCATTTGACTCATGATTTCAACTATAAAATCTCAAATAGTCAGTCTATTAACTCAGTCATTTAAATGTAAAAAAAACTGTGTACACTACTGACTAAACAGACGTTATGTTATGCATAAACACCTTAATAACCATACGAATTCTATTGGGAATGATTATTTCATTAAGATTAGGAGTGAATGTGTGTTAACTTAGATTTTATTCCCCCTTTGTAACTAAATCATTTCATGCTACTGGTTGGTATTAATGGAACAGAAAAATCAAACTATGAAATAATTGGCTAACTAAGATTATATATACATGGCTGTATGTAATATGAAGTGACACACACACATACTATTAACCTTAAAACATGAGGTGAATTCATCGTCAATTCTTACTACTTATAAATGTTTTTATCAGTAGTATAAATTTGAAGACAAAATTTATTATTCCTTGTAACAGATTAATAATATTTACACAAGCATAATTATTTTAAATTGTATTCAAACACTTAACACTTGATAATAATGAATAAAAATGCAGATAATTATCATTATGGATATGAACAAGAAAAGGATCAAGTGGAAACAATCACGAATAAGTTAAACGTTCTATCGAAACATGAAAGGTAATCTATGTCGGATTGAAGTTATTCTATACTTTTGTCTGGTATTATTATATAATTGTCTTGGCAGTGAATAATTGCACTATATTCTAATTCCATATTATTGAAATGATGTTTTGGTATAAGTTCTGGTAATAACTGATCTAATTTATTATAGGGGCAGTTATGTGAATTCTTATGATAGTATGTACATGGTACTATGGTGTTATAACTTGTTGCCTAGATGCCCTATTAATGTATAACGTGACGATGATGCCAATTAGAGAGCAATGATTTATAGATCGGATCAATGATACGAAAAAACCATGCGAGCAGTCTAGAGTTCTTATCGGTCTTGCTTTCTGCCTAACCCAGTCAGTTAAGTCCAGAACATCAATAACAGCCTTTGCAATATTAATCATTTATTTCAAATAGACTGGGTTTATATACCAACCAAAAAGACCCCATCACGCAATAAAATAGAAAACAACATTTTTACACCATTTAGCCAAATGTGACTGTGAATGTGGGAGATACGCGTGTTACTCTCAATAGAGTATAGGCCGCCGACCAGCATTCCCCAACCCACTCTGTCCTGAGCCTTCCTTTCTAGTTCTATCCAGTTGTTGTTCATTCTATTCATATCTGTTTGCCTTTTTCGACGTACTGTGTTCTTCGGTCTTCCTATTTTCCCTTGGCTTTGAAGAGTGCATGTGGGGGCTTGCCTTGTGACACAGTTAGCTGCTCTCCTCAATGTATGTCCTATCCACTTCCAGTGATTCTTCCTCCATTGGAATCTGGTTTATTCTCTCTCACAGTAGGTTGTTGCTGATAGTTTCTGGCCAACGGACATTGAGTATCTTGCGTCGACAACTATTAATAAACACTTATATCTTCTGGATGGTGGCTTTCGTGATTCTCCAGGTTTCCGCCCATGCACTAGAACTGTGTTGACATTCGTATGGAAAATTCTGATTTTGATGTTGGTTGACAGACAGTTGTTTTGCGTTCTAGTTATTTCAAACTATAGTTTACCGGAACCAATTTTTTTAATAAACTTGAAAAAGAGAACATCAGTCATTGATGTTTTAATTCTTTTATGAACTAAATAACGGTACTGGGTTCGAGTCCCGTAGTGAACATCAACTGTGAAATGCAGGTAAATCCGGCTGACGAGTCCCAAACAGGACGAAACGCGTGTCAAACTGGATTCCACTGCTAGCCACAATCCATCTTTGCTTATAACGCTTGTGAATTAAGGCTATATCGAGGCCATATGCACAGTATGCACATATGCCAATAAGAGAGGCTGATCAATTGCAGTCCTAAACATCAATGGAAAAATTCAAATGAACAATACTAAATTAATTTAAATAGAATTTAATCCTAACAAATATCAATTAAAATACAAGTTACTCTATGGTTAGCTTTTTAATTTTTTCTGGTTAGCGATTTAGTTTTCTGCAGGATGGAATCGCTAACCCCATGCTCAACCTTCCTCCTTCATCCGGGCTTGGGACCATTAGTAGCCCACAGAGGGACTACAGGAGGAGTTCGGTTACTCTATGGTAACTTTCGTAACTGGAAAATCGATCAATGAAGCTGTCGATTTTTTTCAAGATTGTAAATAAACTTCACTACTAATGTATGTTAACTACTATGAAACCATTGTGTAATCAAGAGGTTCTTATCAATTGCTTGCAAGAACCGAATATTATAGATACTGTATCCGCAAATAGGGAGACATTTTCATCTTCACTATGGAGATAATTGAATAATTAATCAAAGATATGACCAGAAAAATCTGACATGATTTCACTTTTATATACTTTAAACAATCATTGTTCAGATTTACAATAAAACAGTGGTAAACTTTCTAAATATAATGTATTAAATCATTATCTCTAATTCATATAAGTAGTTTTTATCCTTACTCTAATTTTTAGGTGATCAGAGGTATTTCCTGAAGTTCTTGTGAGAAGTTGTGACCAGCGGAATTCCATCAGGTCTATTATGAGATAGTAACTCACTGAAGGCAATAGTGAACTGTGATACGATTTCGTTCATCGATTGAAGTTAGACATTAACACCGTTGGATACCGGCTCAGTGGTCTAGAGGTTAAGCGTTCGCGCACGAGACCGATATATCCTGGGTTCCGATGGTGGATGCGCACTGCTGAAGAGTCCCATACTAGGACGAAACGACCGTCCAGTGCCTTTAGGTTTTTCAAGGTGGCCTTGCTTTATTTGACTCATGAATTCAACTATGAAATTACTGAAATCTCCATGGCTATAACTAACCGTAGTGTAACCTAAGGCTTATAAATTAATGACCAGATAAATTGTTCAATGAACAGAGTCCTAAAAGAAGTTACGACACTGCCTAAATTCTTCATTTATCTTCGTTTAGATGACAATGTTAAATTTTATTTTCCCTTTTAAATCTAGATTATCTTCTTCTCTACCAGTTCAACCATCATTAAGTAAGTCACTAGTTTTGAGTTTCATTTTTAGAAAATCATAATTAGATTTAATAGTTAAATTTATGAGTCGATTAAAACTAGACCACCGTGGAAAACTTGGAAACACTGAATGGCCATTTCGTCCTAGTATAAAACAGTAAGTATCCAAGATCCCGTACACAGGACTCAAACCCAGTAACTTCAATCTCGACCATCCAATGCTTACAGGTTTTTCATGGTGGTCTAGCTTAGATCGACTCATGAACTCAACTATTAAAATTTTTTACAATCTCCACAAATCCTCATTCTGATAATAATCATGTGCTCACTAGTGAATAGCTTTAAGATGGATTTCTCAGAGTTCTAGTGAGAAGCCATGACCATTAGAGTCAAATCCTTGTCCGATGCAGACAGTTATCTACTTCAGACATTTGACGAATGATTGCGCAAGATCATGGATCGATTGAAGTTAGACATTAGTATCGCTGGATGCCAGCTCAATAGTTCAAAGGTTAGGTGTTCGAGCGTGAGTCTTGTATGCAGGATTATGAATGTGCATTGTTGAGGAGTCCCATATTAGGACGAATTAATCATCCAGGTTTCTATTGGTCGTCTAGTTTAGATCAATTTACCAATTCAACTATTAAAATTATTACAACCTCCACAAATCCCCATTCTGATAAGTAGTGGATAAATTAGAAATCAGCCTTTCATAATGAAATTTATCAATGAATTGGAAGGTGTTATGATTCAGGTTTATATTTTCGATTATTAATGATCAAGTTGTTAGGGGAGTTGTAGAGATTACTTAATTTAAAGTAAATTCTCATGAAAGATTAATATCAATCATAGAGCTATTGGTAATCAGAAAATCCTCCCTAATTATCAACAGAAATGGATAGTGGCTAGCAGTGGAATCCAGTTGGACGCGTGTTTCGTTCTATTTAGGACTCCTTAGGTGGGTGTATATACATCCTAGAGTTGATGTTCATTTTAGGACTCAAATCCATCTATTACTGTTAGCTTCAAAATCCCTCACATTATCTGCTTAGAGAATGGTACTGTGTTCGACTCCCAGAATGAATATCAACTCTGAGATTCGGGTTCATCCGACTGACGAATCCTAAATAGGACGAAACGCGCGTCAAACTGAATACCACTGCTAGCCACCATCCATATTTGCTTAAAATATTAAGAAAATTTCATAAGACAAGTAGAAAAGATTAATCATATATAAATATCTTGGATAAACATTCGAACTCAAATGATAGTCTTATTATTGAATAAGAAATTACTGCGTCTAACTTGATTATAATGGCCTACAGCCATTGTCAAACAGATAAGTTATGGCCCTGATGGAAGAGTTCGTACAGCAAAGATGAGAATGTCAAATAAAAAAATATTTCTGGATGTACGAAACCTATGCCTACTGGTAGAAGCCGGTTATCTGAAGACGACGACGATATCGACGACCCAGGACGATGGACGTGATGCACATTGGGGGGGGTGTAAAGTGAGATCGATAAACGAACACACCAATGATAAGGTGAAACTCCCAGCACCATATTTGCCTTCTTTGACCTTGTATGGCTATGTCTTGTTTATCCACCAATCATGATTTTATGTTCATTTTAAAACAATATTCACCTTGTTGACTGATTGTTCCTATACTGTTCAGTATGTTATTTATGTCTAGACTTTTACCCTATGTAATATACTGTACTGTTTATTTGTATACTAACGTTGTTAATCTATGTTTTAGAAACGGATAAAGATTATTAAGCCAAATAGCTTACATGTTCTGACTTTGGCGAAACCAAGACTCTGTGCTTGACAGTCTAGAGAATAGCTTACAGTTGCACTTGTAGGAAATTGATTCCTACAGTTTATTTATTTATTTATTTAAACACATAAATATTGGTACAAAGAAGCACCAGATACATATGCGCCAAACAAATCTCATTTGATTTGTGTGAGGGCTGTGATACTTCCCAGGTGCCCAAACCGAAGCAGGTTGTTTTCTTAGGAGGCCATACCCCGAGCCTTTGACCTGAAAGTCTAATCCACAAGGCAGTGGAGCATCGTGAGGAGATGCAGTTCCATGGTAGCCGGTGACCAACAATTAATTCATACGACATTTGTTCCCTCAAGATACTGGAGCTCATATGCACCATTGGTTTGTAATGAGGCTTTTCTAACTTCCCTAGTTGGATGCGCTCTTTCCGCTAACCCGGTTAAAGCACCGGACATTCGCATTTCGTCCTCTCAATTTCATAAACAACACCCTCGCCAATGTGAGAAGGCATTGAGTAGGACTTCCCTTGGAGAGGCTATATACGCGTGACCGTGTGAGAACATTTCGAGGGAGAGGGCGAGCCCTCTCCACTCTCAGCCGTACCAGGGCATTTGGGGCATCCTAAAGTGTCTGTTTCATGTTCGTTGAATATATTATAAGTTTTACAACTAAGGTCTAGTTTAAAGGTATATAACACTGTTACGATAAATCCCTACCATTTGACATTTGACGGTTCTACTCATGTTGATAACCTTCATATTTAATTTTTTTTTAAACCTTTTCCAAATGGTAAACCCTGAGAAATGGTGTTGATTGTTTTACTATAATGTCGATTATAGATATATATTTATGTTTTATAACAGCACGTCCTTTTCAATCTACATTTACCCGCATATAAGATATGAACAAAGAGATAAAAAAAAGGTTGTATATCAATGAACTATTTTAAGGAATTTCCACCTTTCTTTTCAAACATCCTATACTTCAAAAATTGATTGTCTTTATATATATACGGGTGTTTTTAAAAACTACTTATAGAAATCATTTCAGTAGTATATAATTTTCTTTTAAAATTTAACACCTCATTAGGTGAGACTATAATTAATGGACGATCTTTGAACGAATCTTAAGTGACCTTGAGAAATATTAGCCAATCAGCGTAGGGTAAAAATATATTATACAAAACCAAATAATTAAAGTGGATACACTTCCTTTACTTACTTACTTACGCCTGTTACTCCCAATAGAGCATAGGCCGCCGACCAGCTTTCTCCAACGCTCTCTGTCCTGGGCCTTCTTTTCTAGTTCTTTCCAGTTCTTGTTCATTCTTCTCATGTCTGTCTCTATTTCTCGGCGTAATGTGTTCTTTGGTCTTCCTCTTCTCCGTTGACCTTCAGGATTCCATGTGAGGGCTTGTCTTGTGACGCAATTATCTGATTTCCTCAAGGTGCGCCGAATCCACTTCCAGCGCTTCTTCCTGATTTCTTCCTCTGCTGAAATCTGGTTTGTTTTTTCCCACAGTAACTTATTGCTGATAGTGTCTGGCCATCTGATCCGAAGTATCTTGCGTAGACAGCTGTTAATAAACACTTGTATCTTCTGGATAATGGTTTTCGTAGTTCTCCACGTCTCCGCCCCATACAGTAGAACTGTCTTCACATTTGTATTGAAAATTCTAACCTTGGTGTTCGTTGACCATTGTTTTGAGCTCCAGGTGTTTTTCAGTTGTAGGTATGCTGCTCTTGCTTTGCCGATCCGCGCCCTCACATCTGCATCTGATCCACCATGTTCATCAATGATGCTGCCCAGATATGTAAAGGTTTCCACATCCTCCAAAACTTCTCCGTCAAGTGTAATTTGATTGGTGCATATTGTATTGTATCGGAGAGTCTTGCTTTTCTCTTTGTTTATATTGAGACCTACTGCTGCTGAGGCTGCTGCTACAATGGTCGTTTTCTCCTGCATTTGTTGTTGCGTTTGTGATAGAAGAGCCAGATCATCCGCGAAATCTAAATCGTCAAGCTGCATCCTGCCTGTCCACTGTATCCCGTGCTTTCCTCCAGATGTTGACGTCTTCATGATCCAGTCGATAACCAGGAGAAAGAGAAAGGGTGAGAGTAAGCAACCTTGCCTAACACCGGTCTTTACCTGGAATGAATCGTTGAGTTGTCCTCCGTGGACGATTTGGCAGTTTAGTCCATCATAGTAGTTCCGTATGATATTGACACCGTAGTGTCGAAGAAGCCTCGAAAGTGTCGTCCTGTTCACGCTATCAAATGCTTTCTCGTAGTCAATGAAGTTGATGTATAGTGATGAGTTCCATTCGATTGATTGTTCCACAATGATCCGCAGAGTTGCGATTTGATCTGTACACGATCTATCCTTACGAAATCCAGCTTGTTGATCTCGAAGTTGGGCGTCCACGGAATCCTTCATCCTGTTTAACAATACTCTGTTGAAGACTCTTCCTGGTATTGAGAGAAGAGTGATGCCCCTGTAGTTGTCGCACTTGCTAAGATCGCCCTTTTTTGGTATCTTGATGAGAAGTCCTTTTTTCCAGTCTATTGGTACTTGTTCTTCGTCCCAAATCTTACTAAAGAGGATGTGGAGTATCTTGGCAGTTGCTGCTACATTTGCTTTCAGTGCCTCCGCCGGGATGTTGTCTGGTCCCACTGCTTTGCCACCCTTGATTTGTCTAATGGCCATGCTGATCTCTTCAATTGTTGGTGGCCCAACATCGATTGGGAGGTCTGTGGGTGCTGCTTCGATGTTGGGTGGGTTCAGTGGAGCTGGTCGATTTAAGAGTTCTTTGAAGTGTTCTACCCACCTGTTTCGTTGTTCTTCAATGTCGGTGATTACTTTGCCTTCCTTGCTTTTCACTGGTCTTTCTGGCTTACGGTAATTTCCAGCAAGTTTCTTTGTTGTATCATACAGTTGTCTCATGTTTCCCTCTCTTGCAGCCTTTTCCGCTGTCGTTGCTAAATCTTCAACATATTTCCGTTTGTCGGTTCTGATGCTCCTCTTCACTTGCTTGTTTGCCTCTGTGTATTCGGCTTGTGCCTTGGCTATTTCCGCTCTGGTTCGGCTGATATTGATTGCTGCCTTCTTGTTCCTACTTTCTTCAATTTTGTCTAGTGTACCAACAGTGATCCATTCCTTGTGATGGTGCTTCTTTTGGCCCAGAACCTCCTGACATGTTGAAACGATTGCCTTCTTGATACCTTTCCAGTTGCTCTCCATGGTAGTCCCATTGAGTAGATCATGAAAGGCCTCGAACCTGTTGCTGAGGGTTATGTTGGATCTGTTGAGTTTGTCGGCATCTCGAAGAAAGGCCGTATTAAACTTTTGTGATGTTGTCCGCGCCGTTGTCCACTGCTTCTTGAGTTTTAGTTTCATCTTGACGACCAGCAAATGATGATCGGATGCTATATCAGCTCCTCTTCTGGTTCTCACATCCTCCATCGTCCTCCTGAACTTTTTGTTGATGCAGATATGGTCGATTTGATTCTGTGTAATGTGATCCGGTGAAATCCAAGTGGCTTTGTGTATGTTTTTGTGTGGGAATATGGTGCCACCTATGACCAGTTTATTGAAGGCACATAGGTTTGCAAATCTCTCACCATTTTCGTTCCTTTCTCTCAGTCCATGTTGTCCCATGACGTCTTCGTATCCAGTGTTGTCCTTTCCAACCTTGGCATTGAAATCTCCCATCAAAATGGTCAGATCCTTGGTTGGGCACTTCTCGAAGATCGGCTGCAATCTCTCGTAGAATTAGTCTTTAGCGTCTTCATCGTGGTCGTTGGTAGGCGCATAGCATTGGATGACGTTCATTGTAATGCCCTCTCTCTTTGTTTTGAAGGAGGCTTTGATGATCCTTGGTCCATGAGATTCCCATCCAATAAATGAATTTTGTGCTTTTCTGGACAGCATCAATGCAACTCCTTGTGTATGTGGGGCATTATCTTCTTCATGGCCGGAGTATAACAGAAGTTCTCCTGAAGACAGTCGTTGCTGTCCAACCTGCGTCCAATGTGTTTCGCTGATTCCAAGAACCTCCAGGTTGTATTTTCTCATTTCTGCAGCAATTTGGAAGACTCTTCCGGTCTCCCACATTGTTCGGACATTCCATGTACCTATAAAAATTTTCGCTCTGGTTGTAAGAAGGTGCATCGGCCTCATGACTTGCGAAGGAACTCAGCTTTCATCATGAGACGTCATAATTATTCCTTCTACTCCCAGGGTAGAGTTCGAAAGGTTTGAATGATTTTTTCTGGTTAGCGTTTTTTTAGCGAGTTGATTTTTACGGGATGGGGTCGCTAACCCCATGCCCAAACCTCCTCCTTTACACGGGCTTGGGACCGGCAGTAACCCCCAGAGGATCTACAGGCGGGGTTATACACTTCCTTTACATGGTCCAAAAACTTGTCAAGGTTAGAAAAGGTTCCAAAATCGTAATGTATAAGGTAGAGGAACTCATCCATATGGCTCCATAATAGTTGGTCACTGGAGCCATGATAAGGTTATAAAAACCCTCTCAGCCTCGACTACATAGCTTCATTATTGTTTGTGTGTACTCCGGTTGTGTAAATTTATCATTTTTATTATGGATATTTCCCTACAATACTCATACCACTGAACAGCCGAAGCTTCAGTAACATCCGCGATTATTGCAACCAATGTTACTGATACTTTTATTATACAGTTTGCGGCAATTATTATAATATTCCTTAGTATCAATCTGGATGGAGCCAAAAAGCTTCCTATTCAAGCAAACGTCTTCCTTCAACATATATTACATCGAAGGACAACATCACAGTAGTCTGCACAACGTCCTACAAGTCATTTAATTACTCAAAATCACAAATAAAGAAACGTCTTATTAGTTTCATTTGTTGTAGTCGCTTGATTATCAAGTCTTCTCTAAAATTCTCTGTGCACCGATCGTACATGAACATCAGGTACTGAAATTGTCGCCGTGACCTTAAAATCCCACAGACGCTTCTGATTGGCTCGTTCATAAATTATAGTCTCGCCCCCTATTAAGACTGAATATTGCATCATTCATTTAAATATAATAGTTAATATGCACTTTAAAGTACATTATCAATTTCGGTCAGGATCCATTGAAATATTGGATGCTTTCAACTACACAGAAACTGATTCATTCTTGATGATGATGATATCATCCAACTTAAGATTCTAAGTACATTTCCAAATCAACTTGTGGTGTTTTTGCTACTAATATCGATAGATATAAGTATGTATTATCAATCAAAAGTGAAATACCTGGTGGTAGAAGGCAAAAAAGATCGAACAAAAGAGAATGAGAACAGAGAATGATTAGTGTGGAAACGAAGGAATAATTAAGTCTGGGATGATTGACTGATATTTTGCAAATTAATTATTTACTGTATGGTTCCTAGATTTTACTAAGAGATTTTGTAATTTTGTATTCGAATACATTCGATTGTCCGTACTTGTGTTCTCGTTCACGACAAACTGACCAGTCATAACATAATATACAGTGTTATTCCGTTGACATCAATCAACAGCAATGTCTGGAATATGACGTTTCGTATTCCTCAGTCACTGAAATAGAAGTCTGCAACATAATTTTTTTTCGATACTTATCTACACTAAACGATAGATAATAGTTTAAAGATTTAAATCATTGGATGCTAGCTCAGTGGTCTGAAGATCAAAAGCTAACCGTGAGGTATAAAGGTCAGGGATTCGATTCATCATGGTTGCGCACTGCTAAGGAGTCTCATACTATTATATATCAAGCTTAGATTCTTAGTATGTCGCGTAAAACTTGGGCACTCCATCGCTAGAACCTTCCCAAGTCGCAAAATGAGGAGAAAGAAGGCAAGTGGACGGAATGTTATTCCACACAGTGTCAATTATGGCAGAAAACTGGTAGGTGTTTTTAGTTTTCAGTAAAGACGAAATCATCGTTATAATTACCCAATTCGCACACAGGGGGTTATTAACATTTGTCCAATAGGGCAGCTGCACGTAGTGATTCTGGAATATTCTTCCAAAAGCTGATTGGATGGAATATGTTCAGCTCCTTCTGAGCTTCTTACAGCTTCCTCAAGTTCGCCTATGGACGGTCCTCACACATACTGGAACGAATTATTTATTCAGTATTTTCTGTTTCTCAATTGTTGTCTAACTAATGGAAAACTGGAAAATAGATGGTAGAGTAATGTCGGTTTTCATCACGAATTCATATCAGTTGAGGTACCATTCACACTAATATTCTTACAGAAATATAAGTATTCCAGTGTACCAGTTTTTTTTTATAAAATTCACATTGTTTATTGCCCTGTGTTTAAATGCTAACTGATCAAAGGTAGTTATCACAAAAACACTGCTCCAAATAGGTTTCGATCCGGTTGGAACTCTTCAGGAAGAGTACTTGGAATCCTGAGTGAATTGATTCTTTTTTGTGGTACTTAAACACAGTTATCTAGTTTTGAATTCTGAATTATTTTTATATACATTATCTTTTAAAATCTCACAAATATTGATTAACATTTAAACAAATAGTTTGACAGAACTTAGGCGCCAAGTATTTAGAAGATATGATATTTAAAAATGATGTTCAGAAAACTTTCAGCGACTGAAATTTCAGTGATCTTAACTTTTCACCAATCAAGTTCGGTTGAACTTCTTTGAAGTAAAATAATCAAAATCGAAACTATTCAAAAAACACATAAAGTATGGTAACGAACTAATCTGATTTCTGATGATGACTGTAGAGTTTCGGCGTGAAATTCGTTCATCCATATGGTTGTGTGTTAGGATAATCAGCCTCTTTCCATTATTCAATAAGAATGAGATATCTAATGATTTCGAGCAGTTTACCGTTCAGTTAGTGGGTGAAAGTTGGGTATGAGAGCATGATTTTCACTGGGGATTTTGACTGATACATCTATTGACAACTAGAGATCTTTTATGAACAGACTATTGTAATGCATCTCGATGTGGAAGATAAAAAGAGCAAATAAGGCGAGATCTGAAGTCTGAAATGAAATCCTCAGTGGAAATTACGTCCTTACATTCAGTACTCATCCAACAAATGAGTGGGAAGTCACCAGTGAGTAGGACTTCCCTGGTAGAGTCTGTATACGGGTGGCCATGTGAGAGCATTTGGAGAGAGAGGGCAGGCCCTTTCCACTTTCGAACATACCAGGGCAGTTCAAAATGAATTGATCAGAAGTAATTTTAAAAGAGCTCAATATTTTGAAATATAGGCACTAATCATGCAAATATGAACAATAATATAGGCTTCCTAATGAAACTATTGACCTCAGAGAATTCAACACCCATTCGATGGAATTTTTAAACTTACCTGAGGATTTCAATTTTGCTGTTGTTTTTCCCATCGTAATTTTTTTTTTCCTTTTTTGAACAGATGATCATTGTCATGAATATTCGACAGTTAGTTCAAATATAGATAAAAGTGCTAGAAAGAAACTAATCCTTGCTAGTGGTCTATGTTTATTTTTTATGACAGGTGAAATAATCGGTATGTTTTTTTAAAAGAAATTTATTTATCTACTTTTATTACTTATGAACAGTATTTAAGTAATATGTTTATCTGATTTCTTCAAAAGTGAAAAATATGAATATATATAACCTTTTATGAAGTATTTTGATTGATAAACAAAGATAGGCAGTGGGTAGTAGTGAAATCCAGGATGCGCGTTTCGTCTTATTTGGGACTCAACGGCTAAATGTACCCGCATCCCAAAGTTGATGTTCACTCTGGAACTCAAACCCTGTTTGGTCAATATCATTATTCAACTGCTTATAATTACATCCCATTCTTTTCTAAACATCTATGATGTCTAAATTCACTTGGTGTTGTTTGCTTGTACCTTCCCATTGATGTTTAAGGCTGCAACTGGTCAGCCTCCTATTGACATATGTGCATACTGTGCAGACTGTCTCGATATTGCCTTAATTCACAAGCATTCTAAGCAAAGATGAATGATGGCTAGCAGTACAATTCAGTTTGACACATGTTTCGTCCTATTTAGTACTCGTCAGCTGGACGAACATGCATCTCAAAGTTGATGCTCACTCTGAGACTCGAACCCAATACCTTTCGCTTCAACCACCATCGCGTTATCTACTTAACTACAGAGTCTTTATGGCCACTCTAAGATGCCTTACGATATTATATGATGAAAATTAGCTCAGACTGTTCTGTAATTGCCACTCAAAATACTTGGCTTTGACATACTGGAACACAAAATAAGTATTACCATGAATAACTATCATATTGAATTAAGAAAACGGAAGTAATATTGAGCAAGAATCACAATGAGTAGAAGAATGTAATTTTATCTTTTATCTTGATATATCACTGAAGAATTCTATTATTAGGTCTTTATAGTCTGTCAATATATCCCGTAATTGAATCTCTCATTATAACACTAGTTTATATGGCTTTAGCACTGCACTAAACTAATGATACATTAACCAGTACGAGGAGCCTAAAGTTATCTTTGAGTTCTTTTTAGACCCCCGAGATAGTAGCTTCTCACTTAACTCAGTCAGTTCAGTCCAAAACACGAAAATCCGCCTTAGCTATATGAATCCTTTATTTCAGACATACACAGTTTATATACAAATAAACTAGGCCACATCATACTATCAAATAGAAAATAACAGTTATACGAGATCAAGTCAAAGAGTAGTTGTGAGTATGAGAATAACTTAAGAAAAATAAGTCGTATTGTGGTGTGGGCTAATTATATCCACATAAGTAGTATATAAGGATGGTCGAGCATTGAATTTATTTCAATAGAAGATCGATAACGAAAGAACGACAATGTAACGCGATTGTTATGAAAATGCATGAACAATGAAATTAGAGACGATGGACAGATATTTGCAGAAGGAACAGTCAAGATTGAGATGATTGATTGATCTTATTAACAGAAAGGGTTTTGACGAGATTTAGTATATTTCATAGTTGAAAGCGTGAGTCAATTGAAGCTAGATTACCATGGAAAACCTTGAAGCACTGGACGGCCGTTTCGTTCTATTATGGGACTCCTCAAAAGTGCGCATCCACGATCCAGCCTGGCGAGATTCGAACCCAGGAACTTCCAGTCTCGCACCAGAGCACTTAACCGATAGACCACTGAGCCGGTCGGCATCCAACGGTGTTAATGTCTAACTTCAACTGATCCATGGTTTTGAGCAACCGTTCATCAATTGTCTTCAGTGAGTTGATATCTCACAACAGACGTGGTTTGAACTCCACTGGTGAGAAGCAGTGACCAGCTTCGATTGATTGATAGTTTGCAAATTGGCTGTTTACTGTATGGTTGTCAGATTTTAGTGAGATAGTCTGTAATTTTCGTGTCAAATACATTCGATTGTCCCCAATCATGTTCTCATTCACTACAGTATAACAGTTGTCATTAGGTTAAGTGAAAGGTTTATAATGAAAGGAATATGAACATACAAATAATACAGTTACTTAATAGTTATCCAACAAAAATATCTGTAATAATAGTTTATAAATAATTTCTACCAGTTACCATTCATTTATTCCTCATTAGGATACAACACCTACAACCTATCTAGCTGACATTAATTCATATTTTAAAGTTCGATACCGGCTCTATAATCTGGAGTTTGGCATGCGATCGCACACGAAACTGTTAGATCCTGGGTTCGAATCTCATGAGGCAGCATCATGAATATGCAGTGCTGAAGAGTTCCACAATAGGACGAAACGACCATCCAGTGCTTCCAGGTCTTCCATGGTAGTCTAGCTTCAATTGATTCATGAATTCAACTCTTAGAATTACTAAAATCTTCACAAAACCTTCTTCTAATCATCATTACAATTTTCGAAAATTCTATAATCTCTACAAATTGCCCATTCATTATAATAAATTACTTATTTTAATTAAGTAGTCTATTATTTATTTATTTGACCATAAAACCGGAATTAAATAATTATGATAATTAATTTTGAAAATAATAATAATTATGGTTTTGGATAATAATTAACATTAATAATAATAAATCTAATGTTGGTTTGTATTATGGTTTATACTACTGATGTTGATAGATATAAGTAATATATATATCATCAATCGAAAATGAAAGGATTGGTGATAGAAAGTTAAGAAGATCAAAGAAAAGAGAACGATAATAAAGGATGATTGCTGTGGAAATGAAGGGAGAATGAAGTCTGGAACAATTGATTGACATTTTGCAAATGAAGTATTTAGTGTATCTTTGATTATAATGCTTGTGAATTAAGGCTATATCGAGGTAATACGCACAGTATGCACATATGGTCAATAAGAGACTGATCAGTTGCAGTCCTAACACATCAATGGAAAGATTCAAACAAGTAATACTAAGAGAATTTGAACTTCATCCCATTTCACATGCAAGTGGCTATCAGGACTCAATAGCTGAGTAGATGACGTTTGAAGCGAAAGGTACAGGGTTCGAGTCCTAGAGTGAACATCAACTCTGAGATGCAAATACATCCAGCTGACGAGTCCCAAATAGAATGAAACACGCGTCAAACTGGATTCCACTGCTAGCCACTATCAATCCTAGCTTTTATTTACTGTATAGTTCCCAGATTTTACTAAGGGATTCTGTAATTCGATTGTCCCCACTACAGTATTATCTCATTGATGTTTAGAACTGCAATTGATTAGTTTCTTATTGGCATATGTGCATCCTGTGTGGATTGTTTCTTCAATATTGTCTAAATTCACAAGCTTTTTAAGGAAAGATGAATGGTGGCTAGTAGTGGAATCCATGTCACGAATCCCAAATAGGATGAAACGCGGGACCTCGATCGCAATGCTAGTCACTACCTATCTTTGCTTAGAATCAAATATCCGTTTTAATAATATTTATGACTTATAACGTGAAATTAATTTCACTTAGTAGTAAATGTCATAGAAGTGTTGGTGAAGTGAATGATAGAACTCATTTGAGGAAAACCATACAGTAAATACTTCATTTGCACATCTTCCATCAATTGTCTCTTACAAACTTCATCGTTCCTTATTTCCTGTTGCCATCACAATTACTGTTGGCTTACATTCCTGATGTCTTCAATTCAATCATCCCAATCTTCTGGCATCCATCCCACTACTGACTGGTATTACATACTACTTATATCTGTCAAAATCATCAGTATAGAGATGTGATTATAGTAAGTATAAGTACTTGACTTCACCATGGTTTAGAGTACATCGTTTATAAATTAGACATGAATAATAATTTAGACACAAGGTAACTGTGTCTAGATGACCATTTGAAAATCCAATGTCAGTAGATACCTATTGCTTATCAATGGGAGTCTTATTAGTAAAGCTTATCCATGACTCTACTAGAAACAGAACCCAAGATCTTCATACGAAGCTCGAGACCCGTTACCTTTACACAACTGTGTTGGAATATAATGGTTTGATTTAAGTTATGGAATAATACCGACCACACATTTTTGAGATATCAATGTTGAGATGACTAATTAATGAGAACTAACTACAAACCATACTCCTTTGTTATGACAGACTAGATAACAGCTCAACTACATTCCTGACAACATCTATGACAATCATGCTAAGTGAAATAGTTTCAAATCTCATAGTAAGTGTTATTCTACTGAGAAGCAGTTGATCAGTGGAGTTCAACCAGGTCTGTTGTAGAGTTATCAACTCACTGAAGACAACTGGTGATCGGTTGCTCAACTTCGTAAATTTTATCCTTATCAAGAATACAAATACTCCGTGTTATTTAAAGCCAGATAACAGAGGATCTAGTTAAAACAGAAAGATCTGCTATTAACAACTTAATGGTTTCACTTTGATTGAAGATGTTCTTTGAAGGTTTCATATGAAATCGATTACAATCTTTCCTTATCTGAATTTTTCTTCCAGGTGGTGCATTGGCCCATAGTTTGGCTATTATGACAGATGCTGCTCATTTATTAACGGATTTTGCTAGTTTCTTAATCAGTTTATTAGCATTATTTCTTGCTTCAAGACCATCAACAAAGAGGATGAGTTTTGGGTGGCATCGTGCTGGTAATTAATTTATATTAAATGTATTCTTTTGAAATGGTTTAAATGTTTTGTAAAAGGTCGACATCATGAGTCCATTGAAGCTAGACCATCATGGAAGACCTGGAAGCACTGGATTGTCGTTTCGTCCTATTGTGGGACTCCTCAGCAGTGTGCATCCACGATCCCACCTCTTGAGATTCGAACCCAGGATTATTATTATTATTATTATTATTATTATTATTATTATTATTATTATTATTAGCTTTATTCAATATTATATTTTTGTACAATATAGAATTCTTAGCACAAAGTACTTCAACAAGTTTCCGTTTCTTACTTCTTCGTCCTTCCTGACGATGAATATTGAGTGATCGCCAGTTAGAACTTAGCAGCCCAGTCAATCGACATCTGGATGATGTACGTTTTCAGAAACGCACCTGAATAGGTTGTGCGATTAATAGGCATAATGATGTATTAAAACAAACGAAATCAGATAACTGTTTGAAATATCTAGATGACAGGAACAGGTAGCCCAGATGTTAAAACAGGCCGCCTCGAGTCTAACAGTCTCGCGCGTGAGCGCTTAACCTTTAGAACATTGAGCTGATTGAGGAGTCCCACAATAGGACGAAACGGCAGTCCATTGCTTTCAGGTTTTCCATGGTGGTCTAGCTTCAACTGACTCATGATCTGAACTATTGAAAATAGTATTATTCACAAACCATTGGTTATCGAATTACTGTCTATCATTTCCTGTTAATCATTCATGTAAAATCACTGTTCTACAAAAGACTAACTCCAGTATATTCTTATCATCGTTGAGATAAATTATCAAGGTTACAGAAAGAAATCAAAAATGGAGTTTAACCATGTCAAGGACTAATCATGTGTTAGAGGTGAACCGATGAAAGTTGAGAATGTAAACAACTTATGGTATCTAGTACCATTTCAAGTCCACATGGGTTATTTCATTTTCTGTACAGACGGATTTACTCACTCTTCTGGAATATCATTTTGACCTTGCTACTTATTGCCTTATTAACCCTGACTGCTTTTATATCGTCGTAATAACCTTAATCATCATGCGTCTGTAACTTATTTTTGTTTGACTATAAATAACGAATCAAAACTGATTAAGTCGAAATGGCTCGTATGCCATTGCCACCACGCGTAATTTCGTTCCATCTCTTCCTCCTCATCGCTTTCTTCGCTTCGTTTGTCTGATCGTTTGTCTGGATCAACGAATGTATGTTATATACATATTCAACATCCATTCTTATATTCCACTTTTGTAATTCTGTTATTCACTAACGCGGTTTAAGTCGATAATTATATACGAAGATTGGCAGCATATATGCTTTGACAACAATCAGAAACGATCTAACTGGAGTCAGATACACATGGGTCACTAAAGTGGTGAGCCTGACGACGAACCTAACGCAACAAACTACGTCAATAAAGAACTTTTCACATTCCATACTTTCGACTAACGAACACAACGCAACTTACTCAATCGTTAAACTGAATTCCAGCTCTCTGGTTTAAGTATATCGTGTTCATTGAAGAAATTTATAATCCTATGCTCTATTTCATGTAAGATCATCGGCATGCACTGGTTAGAAAAGGTTTAGGTAAACCTGATTTGCAATGACAACTTCTTGGAATCAATAACAGGATAGGAGGAGGACATCTGTGTTTGAAACATAAGTGATTTGGATATCATTTCCAACTTATAAAATTCAGTCATTGGAAAATATCTCACTGACGGTAGTTTGTATTTTCATCATTACTTTTTCTTTGTTTGAATTGATAACTAACTAATATCTAGTTGGAATTGGTTACTGAATCTGATCCACATAGAACATTGGTTTGAATATTCATACGTCCTTGACCTGTCTACTTACTTTCGTGCAGAGGATAATTTGTCTAACGTAGATTAAGACCTTGACGCGATAGACTGACTGGCTTAACCTTGAGGCTAGTATGTATGAGTTCGAAAGTGAGATCAACTGCTTGGGATAGAGAGACAAAAATTATCCGATCACTTGATTGGCTGACAAGCACGCGGAAAAGGGAAGACAAGTCAACTGGAACACTCCTTGATCTGCTCCCAGTTCCGATCTGGTTCCAGATTTCCAGATTAGTGTAAAAAGATACATGAATAAACAGATGACTAACCCGACCATAACGTACAACAATTAGGAAAATACATTTATGTCCCAAACTGGGGGATTAGAGTAGATAATAGAGTACAAAAGACTACAATAGCTTTGGAATAGAAAAGACTATGACAGTGAATCATTCATCAAACGAAAGCTTATAATCTGTAAAATAGACTAGGGACAAAAGTAGATGAAATGAAACAACATCCCCGAAAATAGCTCCCATAGTTTTTCAAGGCTTCTTGTTTCTCTATTCACATCAAATATCATAATCAAACTTATGTATATTGATAGCTTAGACCATTTCATTCGATTTTGGTGAATCCATTAGGTTTAAGTGAATAACTAAAGTTATTTCTGACTGAAATTATTCATTACCTAAGTATGGAAAGTGTTATAACGTTCGGTTTTCCCCTGTCTACATGAATGGGACGTGTTATAACTTGTGACATGTGTGCCCTGTTAACATATGACGTGATAAGACCGCCAATCAGAGAGCAGTGATTTGTCAATCAGACCAATGACACATGAAAACCGAATGAGTAGTCTAAAGTCCTTATCGATCTTGCTTTCTGCCTAACCCAGCCAGTTGAGTCCAGAACAGCCTCTTCAGTATGATTCTTTATATTTCAAACGTACTGAGTTTATGTACCAAACAAACAGACCACATCGTACCACAAAATAGAAAATAGACATTTGTACAAGATTTAGCCAAATGTGGCTGTGAATAGGGGGAACAATTATCAATAGACAGGGGATAATTCATGAATGGTAAATCGTATAGTAATAGTCTGTGGGTCAAAATAATGCTTATAATAAGAGGGACACGTATGTGAATAGTTTATCTACTTAGTGATTATACGATAAAAAATATATGCATAATATTGGTTCATAATAAATCCCAAACTTACTATTCACTATTCTTATCGGGATATAACAGGACGTTAATTTATCCTGGACGAATATCTATACTAGATACCCTCCCAGTGTCTATCCTACAAAACTTCAACATAACTCATATCAAGAATATGTGATTAGCCTGACTAGAACGTAAGTATATTTCCACACCAAAAACCGCTAACAATCAAAATAATAATAAGGGTAGGAGGATATATAGCTCATCTAGTACCTGTTAGACTATCTGCTAGTATAACTAAGCAAACAACATCCTCACTCAAACATCAGAGAGTTATATTTGTAAGTATGCTTGTACTATAATAAAAAGATATATTGGAATGAATAACAACATCCAACGATAAAAAAGTTCCTCCTCTCAGTATCATTTAACGAACCAAGACCTATTCAATATCAATAACAAGTAACAGATGGTCTTCATCTCACATAAATGATTTTTCAGTATTTGAATCCAAGGTGGCATTTTTTGATAAATCAAGTGTTTTCGGCATATACATATACGTATAGTTGTGATGAAAGTCCGCCTGTAGCTCTTCTAGAGTTACTGCCATTCCTAATTTCGGGTAAAGGAGGAGGGTTGGGCATGGAGTTAGCAACCCTATACCGTAGAAAAACCAACTCGCTAACAAAAACGCTAACTAGTGGTCGTGATGAAATATATTCCTTTCAGTATCAGTAAATGTATTTTGGATGAAGTGTTCACAGATGTTTAGGCATTGTCTACATTTTTGAAACCCAAACAGCATAAGTGTCTACATGTATTCATGATTTCTTGGTCATTTGGTTATCGGTTCGAAGTCTTTGTTGATGTTTACACCTCAGATCATAGAGATGAATCCAAAAAAGGTAGATTTATTTCTCAAAAGATAATCATATAACAAACCAAAGCCAGAAAGATCGCATGCGATCTCAAATGAAAGATAAGTGCGGACTGACTTTATAGCTCCGTAAACCGCTTATCTGATCAAAATCATCATTCATTTATATTCCTGCCAGTCTGGTAGCTTATAAATCTGAATGAGACTTTCAACACATTCTTGACCCTCCTATTCCTCACCGTTATGTAACCAACCGTCAGAAACATGCATACTGATTGAATCAAACTGCATAAAATAAATCTTGTTTAAGAGAGTTGGATTTCAGAAGGGGGTTTTTGTGGAGACTTAGTATTTTCATAGTTGAAGCTAGATCACCATGGAAAACCTGGAAGCACTGGACAACCGTTTCGTCCTATTATGGGACTCCTCAGCAGTGCTCATCCACGACCCCGCCTCGCGAGATTCGAACACAGGACCTATCAGTATCACACCAGAGCACTTAACCGATAGACCACTGAGCCGGCATCCATGGTGTTAATGTCTAACTTCAACCAATTCACGAAGTTGAGCAACCGTTTACCAATTGTCTTCAGTGAGTTGATATCTCACAACAGGAGAGAATTGGATTTACTTGTTCAATAACTTTACATAATATGATGATTCAAGTAGTCAATTTTGTGTATTCTTCTATCATTTTTTATTTGAATTCAAGAGGTTGTCGGTGCATTAGCTTCTGTTCTATTAATTTGGCTTGTTACTGGTATATTAGTATATTTGGCTATTATACGTATTATACATAATAATTATGAAATAAATGGTAAAATTATGCTTATTACATCAGCTACTGGAGTTGGAGTCAATATAATGTAAGTGGTTGTTTTTAAAACTTATTAAATTATTATAACTGTTATCAGCTATAAATTCACTTGGTATTGTAAGCAAAGATGGATAGTGGCTAGCAGTGGAATCCAGGACGCGCGTTTCGTCCTATTTGAGACTCGTCGGTCTCAGTCCTAACACATCGATAGGGAGATCTAAACAAACAATACTAAATGAATCACTTGGTATCGTTTGTTTGAATCTTCACATTGATGTTTAAGACTGCAATTGCTCAGACTCTTATTGGCATATGTGCATACTGTACACATTGCCTCGATATAGCCTTAGTTCACAGGCATTCTAAGCAAAGATGGATAGCGGCTGGCAGTGGAATCCAATATGCGCGTTTCGTCCTATTTAGGAATCGTCAGCTAGACGTACCTGCATCCCATAGTTGATGTTCACCCTGAGTTTCGAACCGAGTACCGTTCTCTTTAAACGCCATAGCGTTATCCATTTAACTACTGAGTCCTGACAGCCAATTTCTTGTACAATGTGGTGAAGCTTTAATTCTCCTGGATTCTACTGTCAACCACTATCCATATTTGCTTATAAAGTTACCTTAGGTTGTGAAAGGTTTTAGTTTCGGATAGTAAATGCTTAAAAGTGGATCTTTTCCATGTTTTTTTCCATATTTCGCTCTTACAAATCTTCCGTTATCAATCAACGTTATGTCAATACAATCAATCTACAATCTAATCTTTGAAATTCAAGCACCTTAGCAATTAATTTACTTCCATATCGGTTATCATGTATTATTTAGCGTATAATCATCGTTTGATTGGAAAAACAAAAAGGAAACAGCTTACAGAATCATTCAGTTCGAAGGTTATTAATATGATGTAGGATATTAAACATTGTAAAATAATATTGTGGTTAAGCATTCGGGCGCGAGATTAATAGGTTTTGGGTTCGAATCTCACCAGGCGGGATCGTGGAAGTGCACTGTTAAGGAGTCTGGCAATAGAACGAAATGGTCATTCACTGCTTTCAGGTTTTCTATTGTGGTCTAGTTTCAATTGACTCATAATTTCAACTATAAAATAATATTTAGTCAAATTTTTAATCATCTTGAATTGTCTTCATTAGTGTTTGTATTTATTTAATACTGACAACAATATAGATTTGTATATTATTAGTTCCAAGCTCTTAAACTATGTAAATAGCATTTCTTATATCAACTACAGAATACATATCTGTTATATCCTAGTGAAGACATAAGTACATGTAACTCCCAGGAGCTATTAATGGACTAATATTAAACATATATTCCTATTGTATAACTACTATTCAGTGATTAGATTGTATATATCTATATTCATCCTTATTATAAGCTTCATTTTGACTTATGGATTATCATTATACGACTTACTGTCTCTAAATTATATTCAGTTTATTGATTACTGTCTCCCACGTTCACAGTCACATTTGGCTTGATCTTGTATAAATAGTATTTCCTATTTTATGGTGTGATGCAGTCTGTTTAGCTGGTATATAAACCAAGTATGTTTGAGATAAGTAATTCGTATAGTGGAAACTGTTATTGATGTTCTGGACTGAATTGGAAGGGTTAGGCGGATAAAGGTCCATTAAGGACGCTAGGCTGCTGATACCGATCGAACGTCATTGGTTTGGCACAGTGCTAAGATTGTATAAGTTGTATTTCGATTGGTGAATCAATCATGTAATAATAAGGCGGGCTTAAACTCACAACAATATCAATCATCATTGAATATTATTTTTTGAATAACTGAAGTTGAAAATATGAATCATTTAATTTCATTTCAATCGACTAAAGTGATTGATGCTTGTAAGAAGATGTGTAACAGCTCAGGTTGGTTGGTTAAGAGTTGACCCCAAACAACCAAGAATATGCTAAAACAGTATTGTTCAAGTATTCATTCACTTCCTTACCTTTTGTAAGCGTTATATTCCCTACTATCTTATATGGAATGTTGAGAGCCTTTGTTTGTCTGAACAGATAATCCCACGCTCCACTGTGACTGCGCGAAGATCGAAATAAAGACCTATTCATTACTTCTCTGGTTTCTTCTATCAATATCACGAGGGTTACCTATAGGCACGAAAGTGGTGAGTCCGACGTGAAAAACGAAATCATCATGAATAAGGTTAATGATGGGCTCTGTAGAGAGTTTTCGTTCTAAGATAAGACAGCTATAAACTACTGTTTATTTGGGTTATCTCTTTTCCTATCTCATTTCGATCCGTGATGGATATCCCATCCTAAAAAACCATCTAACAAAGCCTTTTAAACTGATTAATAGTGTTATAATTTGTGGCCTGTGTGCCCTGTTAATATATAATGTGATAACACCGCCAATTAGAGAATAGTAATTTATCGATCAGACCAATGATACATGAAATCCATATGAGCAGTTTAGAGTCCTTATCGGTCCTGTTTCCCGACTAGCCCAATCTATTTAGTTCAGAACACTAATAACAGCCTCTGCGGTATGAATCATTTATTTCGAACATACTTACTTATGCCTGTTACCCCTCGTCGAGGAGCATGGGCCGCTCACCAGTATTCTCTATGCAAGCCTGTCCTGGACAATCCTTTCCACTTCTTTCCAGTTAACATTCATCCTTTTCATATCTACTTCTATTTCCCGGCGTAATGTGTTCTTTGACCTTCCTCTTTTCCGCTTCCCTTCTGGATTCCATGTTAGGGCTTGTTTCGTGATGCAGTTTGGTGATTGCCTCATTGTATGTCTTATCCACTCTCAACGTATTTTCCTAATATCCTCTTCAGCTGGAAGCTGGTTTGTCCTCTCCCATAAAACGCTGTTACTGATAGTATCCGGCCAATGGATGTTGAGTATTTGCGTAGACAACTGTTTATAAATACTTGTACCTTCCTGATGATGGCCGTAGTAGTTCTCCACGTTTCAGCTCCGTACAGTAGGACTGTCTTGACGTTCGTATTGAAGATTCTCACTTTGAAATAAGTTGACGGTTGTTTTGAGTTCTATATGTTCTTCAATTGTGGAAATGCCACCCTTGCTTGTCATTTCAAACATACTCAGTTTATATACCAACCAGACAGACTATATCGTACCATAAAATAGAAAATAACATTTGTACGAGATTTAGCCAAATGTGGCTGTGAATAGGGGGAACAGTAATCAATAGACTGGACATAATTCAAGAATGGTAAATCGTATAATAATAGTTCATAGATCAAAATAAAGCTTATAATAAGAGGGAAATTATACGATGAGAATATACCCATAGTATTGGTCCTAAATGGATCCAAAAAGTTACTATTCATTATTCTTATCGAGATATAATAAACAATATCAGAAGGGGTTTTGTGGAGATTTTTTAGTGTTTTCATATTTGAAAACGTTAGTCAATTGAAGCGGGATCGTGGATGCGCACTGCTGAGGAGTCCCATAATATGACAAAACGGCCGTCCAGTGCTTTCAGGTTTTTCATGGTAGTCTAGCTTCAATTGACTCAAGCTTTCAACTATGAAAATATAATAAACAACCAATATCATGTTTACCTAAACAGTTTCACCAATCTAATTCCATTGATCAATTTAAGATGTAGCCATTTGTTATATCCCGAAGAGAATTATGAATGGTAACTTTGAGAACTAAATATGGACCAATATGATATGTATATTTCCTATTGTATGATTGTTAAGTAACCAGGGTATTTATATTCATGTCCCTTTTATTATGACCTTTATTTTGACCCGTGAACTGTTATTATACAATTTACTATTCATGAGTTATCCCCAGTCTATTAATTATTGTCCCCCCACATTCACCGACACATTTGGCTACATCTTGTACAAATGTGGTTTCCTATTTTATGGTACAATGTGGTCAGTTTGTTTTGGTATATAAACCCAGTATGTTTGAAATATAATGATTCATATTTCAGAGGCTGAGATTGGCGTTCTGAACATAATAGACTGAGCTTGTTGGGAAACAGGACCGACAAGTACTCTAAACTGTTCATGCGGCTTTTATGTCTCATTGCTCTGATCAATAATTCACTCCTCTCCGATTGGCGGTCTTATAAACAGGTCACGCATGCACTCACTCGATCTAACACCATTAAACTGTATTCCCTGTTAACTTTCTTTTCTTCTCTTTCTTTTTCCCTTTCAGTATGTTATTCACATTACATAATCATGGTCATAATCATACATCATTCAATGAACATTTAAATGAATTACCTAAACCAACAATAACTACTATCAGTAATCATAATCATGATCATAGTCATAAGTATGATATCAATAATGAAATATATAAAGAATTGAATCGTCCTAATATAACTGTACGTTCAGCTTATATACATGTGATTGGTGATTTATTACAAAGTATTGGAGTAATGATTACAGCAATGGTTATATATTTTCAAGTAATGATGAATTGGTTTTATGATTCTATATGAATGTTAATGATGTATTTATTATATAAAGTAAGAACTTAGTGATTCTCGAAGTTAAGCGCTGGTGAGCAAGATTGATAGGTCCTGGGTCTGAATCTCATGAGGCGGGATCATGGAAGCTAGACCACCGTGGAAAACCTGGAAGCACTGGATGGCCGTTCTGTCCTATTGTAAGTTCTAGTGAGAATCAGTGACCAGTGGAGTTCAACGGAGTCTTTTGTGAGATAGTAACTCACTGGAGACAATGTTGGACGATTGTTCAATTTTGTGGATTGGTTGAAGTTAGACGTTAACACCATCGGATACTGGCTCAGTGGTCTAGTTGTTAAGCGCTCTCGTGCAAGACTGATAGGTCATGCGTTCTAATCTCACGAGGCGGGTCGTGGATGCTCACTGCTGAGGAATCCCGCAATTGGACGAAATGGCCGTCCAGTGCTTTCAAGTTTTCCATGATGGTCTTGCTTTAAATGAATCATGATATCAACTATAGAATTAAAATAAGTCAAATACCAGAATGGATTTTGATTACATATATTTCATGTAATAATAATAATAATGTACTCATTGATTTGAACAAGCAATCAGGAAGATGGAGCAAGGAAAGGATAGCGAAGTAGATTGAAGAAGTGAAGCGAAATGATGAGCAGTGGAGAAGGCGTGTGAATCATATGGTATATTTCGGCAACTTCTATCTTCAGTCTTAGGCGTACTGGTACTGCCGATATGATTTGAACTTGCATTATTCATTTCCATAGCCAAAGGATGATATCATTGATTTGATTAGGCTGATCTTTAAACATGAGAAATACAGTTCGAAATGATGAAACTAAAGGATAAAATGTTACATTTAGTTCATGATTAAGTGGCAACCCCAAATTGAGCTTTATTAAGTAAGAGTGACCAGTTATGCACCATTTCACCTATCATTGCTCTCATATACTTATTCGCCTCTCCGCTTCTAATTCGCTTAATATGCTAATGGCTTTGTGGTCTACACTATCCAATAATAAACTGAAATTGCCACTTCTCATTGCCTTCTGATTTCAAACACCGTTGAGATATATCGATGGACGAAGTAAAGCCACTACACACCTACCAACATGTTTCAGACATCCTATACTCAACTATTAATGGTATATCTTCATTTACCCATCTTTGAACTTTTCCTCACCTTCCTGTGGCATCAGTTTCTTCAAACAACACTTACGTCTGGACATTACTACATGTCTTTTTATGAATCCATCATTAACGTGGAGTAGAATTACAAGCACAAATCCATGACATTTCAATACTTACCATTTTATAAGGCCAGAGTACATCAGTCCTCTCAACATGACAAGTGCAACTTGTTGATGAGTGCTTGTAGATAGCATTGAGTCTCAATTGACTATGATCACCACTACATGAAGATTACGTGCCAGGTATCGACCTGGATCCCTTGGTAGGCCAAAAACCAGAAGGCTGTTCATGATTGCAATAAGATATAGTTAGTGGCGATCTCACGGTATCGAAAGAATACCAAGACATACCAAAGTTTACAGGTAGAACTGGCAATGTAGTGACCTACTTTTATGACGAGAACGTGATTGGTATAATGAAAACAATTATTATTATAACCAGTTGTACCAGTGATTGTTTTACTGTACTTGTTTGTTTCACTGTACCAAAGACACTTTACCTTCCATTGCCTGTGACCTTGCATGAACTCTAGTCCCCCTATCTATGAACTCCAACTATCATGTTGAATTACAAACTTCATTGTAATAATGCCTCTTCTTTATAAATGTATTTAACTCATACATATATATATATATTCTCTTTTCCCTCTCTAATTCAAGCCAAAGTATAAAATTATCGATCCATTATGTACATTTCTCTTCTCAATATTAGTACTTATTACTACACTTAATATATTACGTGATGCATTAAATGTATTAATGGAGGCTACACCACGTGGATTGAACTTTAATGAAGTGAAAAGCTCATTAATGGATATACCTGGAGTACGAGAAATACATAATTTACATATGTGGAGTTTAACTACTAATAAAACAGCTGTCTCTGTACATTTAGCAATTGGTAAGTTAGTATGATGAATGTGAATTAATACCTTTCCCGGTTATGCTAATTCCTGTATCATATGAAGGAAATTTAAACAAAACCTATCTATACTGACGACAATTCAGTAGTGAATTACTTGAAGTTATTCTTATACATCATTGGATCCAAACTTAGTAGTCTAGGGATTAAGTATTCAGGGACCAGATCAAAGATCTTGTATCCTCTCTCTCGAAATGCTCTCACACGGTTATGCATATACAGACTCTGCCAGGGAAGTTCTACTCACTGCCTTCTTACAGTAGCGAGGGTGTTCTTTAAGAAATTGAGAGGACGAAAAGCGAATGTTCGGCAGGGGCTATAACCGGGTTGGTGGACACGAAAGGTCCACCTAGAGGATTTGAAAAACCCTGATTTCAAACCAGCGGTGTACATGGGCTCTACGATCTTGAAGGAACAAATAGCGTACGAACCTATCGTTGGTCACCGGCTACCATGGAACTGTACCTCCTTACGATATTCCACTGTCTTGTGGATCAGATCTTTAGGTCAAAAGCTCGAGGTGTGCCCCCCTGGGAAAACCACCTACTTTGGTTTTGGCACCCGGACAGTATCATAGCCCCCACCCAACTAAATGAAATGACAATTGTTTGTGTGGCGTATATATATCTGGTGCCTCTTTGTACCAACATTTACGTATCCAAATAAATAAATAAACCAACTATTGCAAATTTTCAAAGCACTGGTTAGATATTTTGTCCTAATATGTGACTCCTCAACACTACACAACCATGGCTGTGTTAAAGAGTGTAAACAGAAGTTTCAGTCTTCATACTTGTTATATCTCGTAACCTTTAAGCCCTGTTGATGTCAAATATGACGATGCTGCCAATTAGAGAGCAGTGATTTATTAATTGAACTAATGACACACGAAACCCGTATGGGCAGTCTAGAGTCCTTATCGGTCCTGCTTTCTGTCTAGCTCAATCAGTCAAGTCCAGAACACTAATCTCATCTTCTGCTATATGAATCATTACTACTCTCAAACATACTGGGTTTATATACCAAATAGACAGACCACATCGTACCAATAAAATAGGAAATAATACTTGTGCAAGACTTAGCCAAATGTGGCTGTGAATATGGGGGACAGTATTTAATAGACTGAGGATAAGTCAGGAATGGCAAATCGTACAGTAATAGTCTATGGGTCAAAATAAAGCTCATGATAAGAGGAACATGAATATAAATAGTTCGGTTGCTTAACAATTATACAAGAGCAAAATGTATATATCATATTGGTCAATAAACGGATCCCAAAAGTTACAACGTCAGTAGTATATGACAATACTAAGTTGAAAAGACTATCCAACACTCCGTAGTTTTCTGTGGTACCCCACCACCACCACCACCACCATCAGCAATATCATTTTTATCCCAATCAATTACTAAGAACTTTCGTCTAAATTAGAGCGAATAGTTTCACAGTATTTGGGCGCCGAGTTGATGTAACACATTAAATAGGAATAATGTATATTTGTAAAATCTCAGCGAATTGAATTTGAAGTAAATCTCATCGTTCCACCTTACAATCTGGTCCAAGCTTTTTATTCATAACTCACCTTCATCCAATACTCCATGATTCTGTGTGGTACGCTCTCCCCTCCCCACCACCACCATCAGCAATATCATTTTTATCTCAATCAATTAATAACAAATAGATTCATAGCCCACCTTCATAATATTGAAGCTAAAGATCACCAGGGAAAACCTGGAAGCACTAGACGACCGTTTCATCCTAAATCTCCACACAGAACCCCTTTTCTGATACTAATCTTTCTTTCTTTCTCTCTCTTTCTATTTCATATTAGAAAATGATTCAAATACTCAAGACATATTAAAACAAGCAAATCATTTATTAAAACAACGTTATTTAGCTCATGATGTTACTATACAATTAGAATTATATGTTGAAGAAATGGCTAATTGTTATCAATGTAAAGAACCATTAAAATAACACAACTATTCCCAGTTATACATCTATATATATATACCCTTATATTCTGATTTATTTGAGTCTAATCAATCTTTATATTCAGTAGTATAATCTTATTACTTATTTACTTACTTACACCTATTACCCCTTGTCGAGGAACATAGGTCACTAACTAGCATTCTCCATCTAATCCTATCCTAGGCAATCCTTTCCACTTCTTTAGAGTTAACATTCATCCTTTTCATATCTACTTCTATTTCATGGCGTAATGTGTTCTTTGGTCTCCCTATTTTCCACTTCCTTTCTGGATTCTAAGTTAAGGCTTACTTCATGATACAGTTTGATGAGTTCCTTAATGTATGTCCTATCTTATCATTTCAAATACTTTGTATGAAGTATATATATTACAGTTGTTTAACTATGACTATTAGATGAAACATTTAAACAACAACAACAACATAACCAAAGATTTTAAAATGAACGACAGCAGTTCATAGATTTTTTCTATGGAACCTCATAATGAATTCAGTGAGTTTCAAAGAGCTTCCTAAAGCTACCATTATTAGTATTTGAAGTTATGAATTCATTTGTGCTTCATCTAAACAAGTAAAGAATTGACCTTTATTTAAAATCATCTTCTTGAAGATTGAATAACCTTCATTCTTGTGCTGTGTCAATCAAACTGTTTTAAATCAAGTTTAATGATAAACTACTGATTTATCATTATAGACTACTTATTTATTTCATCTATAATGTGTTATATCTCTATCCTTATATGAAGAATTAATGAATATTGTGCATTTATTATAACTATGTTGCTACTACATTGATAATGTAATGTTTCCAATTATTATATTATCAGGTTATTTAAGGTTATATTCTATAAATTATTAAATATAAAGAAATTTCATGAGAGATTAGAATCATTCTTGATGGTATAGTCAATCATCCAGATCATCATCATCATCCAAATCATCATCATCATCATCATCATATAAAACATCATCAACATCCAAATCATCATCATCATCCAAATCATCATCATCCAAATCATCATCATCATCCAAATCATCATCATAATCACCATCATCATCATCATCATCATCACCATTGTTATATCGTGTACCTGCGTGTGTGTGTGTGTGTGCCCAGTTGTTCTATCGATTGAGTGCGTTCTTGACAAGTTGATATGTATATGAACGTGATAACATCGCCTATCAGAGAGCAGTGATTTATCGATCGAATCAATAATACACAAAGGCCGTATGAACAGTCTTGAGTACTTATCAGTCCTGCTATAACTGCTTAGCTCAGCCAGTTCAGTCCAGAACACCGATCTCAGCCTCTGCAATAAGAATCATTTATTTCAAACATACTGGGTTTATATACCAATCAAACAGAACACATTGTACTACAAAATAGAAAACAACATCAGGCCAAATGTGGTTTTGAATAGGGAGAACAGTAATCAATTGACTGGGGATAACTCAAGAATGGTAAATCGTATAATAATAGTTCATAAGTCAAAATAAAGCTTATAATAGGAGGGACAGGAATATGAATAGTTTAGTTACTTAACAATTATACACTAGGAAATATATGTATCATGTTGGTCCATAAATGGTTCTCAACGGTTACCATTCATAATTCTCCACGGGATACAACAATCATCATCATCAGTAAATATCATATTAAATAATTACAGATAATTAAAATATGATGATGATTGGAGATCGTCAACAGGAAACATTGAACCTAGGTTCCTTCAAGATTACAAGTACATCTTACTGATGAATGCTAAATAGCACGAAACCTGGGGTTTAGGGTTTCTTGTTGGCTATCTCTAATCACTATCTTATCTCAACATAGTGCAATCAATGTTGAATCACTTAGACTAGTGCGTATATTGTAACTTGATCGATAGGATTTGATTTGTACTGGGAAAGACATGACGCTAATGACATTGATCACTATTTTGTGGTCAATCAATTGTAGATAATTATATTCTTTAGTTAGTAGTTAATATACTTGATGCTAATTCGAATTTCTCGGTAAACGAACGAAGATCAATGAAACCGTTACACAATAGGCTAATCTAATCCATTGTCCCAGGCCCTGCTAACTAGAGGAAGAAGTCCAAGACGAAGTAGGGGAAAATATATTCTGTAAGCAGCAGAAGTATAGGCATTCGTAAGGGGAAAAACTCAAACGTATATATACAACAATAAATTGTCCTTGGGCAGTATTACAAAATAGTACACTCAAAGATACAACGGACCAATAGCGTTCAAGATATTTTACAAGTGGGAAATACGATTCGAAGGTGAAAAGAGAGCTTTTGGCGCGAAAACAAGGAAATTCAAATTTTCAAAATAAAATTACAAAATTAGGTCATTTACCGAGTATGTTCTGAGGATTTAACATCCCCAACAGTAGCATTTCATGAAATCCATTTTGTAGAATTAGTCCTAATGTCCGACTAGTCAATTGAACTAAATTTACATAAATGTCCTCACTGAGATGTAAAATGGTAGGTATAAGCTTTATAATCAAAACACAGGAAAACTAAGATACTGTGTCACTTTCGATGAGTAGTCAATATGACAAAATGTCTGTACTAGAAATCAATATTGTTGTGACTTCAAGTCCGACTAATTACCATGTAATTGATTCGCCAATCAGAATATGACTTATACAATCTTGGCACTGTGCAAAACGAATGACGTTCGACCGATATCAGAAGCCTAGCGTCCTTACTGGTTCATAAAAAAAAACACGAGTTATGAGTCTTAGTAGCAAAGATACTTGTGGTTAATCAGCTTATCTTCTGGTGTTTGTAAATGACATTGAAGAATATGAGCTCTTATAGATCGTCTAAAGAATACCGTGACAGAATTAGTAGTACCGACATGAACATAATACTGTGAGACTAAATTAAATCAACTGACTCATGATCTTAATTGTATTAAATTAGATCCATTATAAAAAGATTTTTATATGTCAAATGAACGAGGGGAACATGTTTAAAGGGGTGACATTGGTCATACAAATAACCAACTTACAATAGACCCTCTACATATACAACCAAATGACTATATGACTTTGGAAACTCGCATGATCTGGCTGGCTGGTTTAACTTGAAGTATCGATTTATTCGAAATCATACTCATAATTTTACAGACAACTCTAATTGGAATTCGTCAAATAATGGACTCATGTAATGTACTAACATTTGTGTTGATTTCATTAAAGTATCCGACTACATATCCATCGTCAAGAAGACAAGTATTTATAAACAGTTGCTTACGCAAAATACTCAACATTCACTGGACGGATACTATCAACAACAGCGTTTTATGGGAAAGGACAAACCATATTATAGTTGAAAAGGAAATTAGGAAAAGACGTCGGAAGTGGATAGGACACACATTGAGGAAATCACCAATGTGTATCATGACTCAATCCCTAACTTGGAATCTGGAGGGGAAGCGGAAAAGAGGAAGTCCAAAGAACACATTATTTCGGGAAATATGGGTAGATATGAAAGAGATGAATGCTAACTGGAAAGAAATGAAAAGGATCGCCCAGGATAGGGTTAGATGGAGAATGCTAGTTGGCGGCCTATGCTCTTCCACGAGGTGTAACAGGCGTAAGTAAGTAAGTATCCAACTACACATTTGAGATACATGTGAAACAGACGTTCTCATACTACGATCTGTCTAAAGAACGATTCTGTTGGTAAGGAATGTAGATGGGCTGTTTACAAACCTCAACTCGTGAGGTATCTTTGGTGATTAATGAGTTTGTACATTTGTAATGATAACTTATAAATTCATTGCAACATACGATACCGTATATGACAGTTGATGGTTGTCTTGTATTAATGACAACTTATCAATAACCCCAAAATGAAAACTGAGAACACAGAAATAATTAAACATTCAAGGAATTTATAGAACTGGGAATAACTGTTATGACGGTTGAGAGAAAGTGATCACAATCACACAAATGTTTATCTGAATACTTTACTACAAAAAAACGTACGTTACACCAGAGGTTTAGAAATTATTAGAAATACATCTGTTTACTGAATATTAGCAAGTAGTATGAAGATATATACACAAAATAAACTGGAGGAAGAGAAAATGGAGACAGGAATTGCGAACGAACGTAACACTGTCAGTGAACTTAAATCTACTAACCCAACGAACAGAAGAATGACAAATGGACTGTATCACGAGGCAAGCCCGAACTTCGAGTCTTCAAAGCTAAAGAAAGAGTTACAAACCAAAGAACATGTTGCTCTGGGAATTGGAGACAGATACTAAAAGAAGAGATAACACTTGGCAAAAGGACTGGATCGGAGGGTTCATAACAGAGCTGGTTGGAGAATCTTGGCTGGGGTCTACACTCCCACGAGGCGTAACAGGTGTACGCAAGTAAGTAAATGAACCTCACCGACTAAATTGATGGACAGGTTACTGGTACATTTCAGATAATGCTAAACTCTACTGTGCCCTGTATAAGAAAACTTCCCTATACAACTAACTTGGATCATCATTTGAAAAGAACTATATGAAGTTTATTAAAAATTGTAGCTACAGATTCAGAAACAATTGTGATCCATAGGTGCACCATAAGTATCATATTTGACATCAACCATCCATACACGCATAGTAAGATACATAAAATGAATATTATCCTTAATCTGTCCACCAGTCCTATAGTTAGATAATCTGGGAAGTTTATCTTGGGACTTTTAACCCCCTTGAGTTCGATTTCTAACTAATTGACCTTACGATGAGAAAATTATTCAGGAACAGTTTTAGACAAGCAGTGATGGTTGACGGTATTGTCGACTTATGCTCGTTACTGTGATATTTCATATTCAGAATCTAAATACTTCAAGTTTAGTTTATGCTTAAAATAAAAATATATCATGTTAAAGCATTTACATGTACGTGAGTTCCGGAAACGTTCAAATATTTGAATGTTTGCTAGCAACGCTATTAGTTAGAGCTGATTAAGTCAATGGATTATATGTAGCTTGGGATTGAATTTAGACGAATATAATTCCCTACTTACTTTCATACATAATACATCGGTGAACCCCCTTGTGCAATGATAACAAAAAGCCAGATACTACACGTACATGCAATATATCTGACATACTAACAAATGAATAGATGCAGAGCCACCAAATGCCCTGGTAGGGCTAAGGGTAGGGAGATTTAGGTTTCCCTCTCGAAATGCTCTGACATGGTCACGCGTATACACCCACTGACAGGGAAGTCCTACTCACTTCCTTATCATAGCTGGGGTGTCGTTTACGTAATTGAGAAAACAAAAAGCGAATGTTTGACGCTTGAACCGGATTGGTGGACATGGGGGGATCACCTAGGGGAGTTGAAACACTATCATACTAAACCAATGGTGCACATGGACTCCACGATCCTAAAGGAACAAATGTCATATCAACATTTTGTGAGTCACTGGCTACCATGTGACTGCAAACCAAATTGGATTACCAGGGTAGTAATAGGTTTATCACTGTCGTTTTTTGAATACATATTTGGTTTAAGATTTTCTTATCGCGATCGCTTCAGCAAACCAGAGAGCAGTCGTACTTCTTTGTCTGTTAATCATTTTGAAAGCATGAGAAATTACAATGGTATGTCCGGTGTCAAGTAAATGCCAAGCTATTGGACTGTTGAGAGGCGTAGTTCCTCGCAACCTTAATTTCTTTGAAACATGTTCAGAAATGCGAACATATACTCTTCTTTCGGTTCCTCCAATGTTTATGTTTTGGCAAGTACATGTTAATTGCTAAATGTAGTTGGAGCTACTGAGAAAAGAGGACATATTTGAGTGAGCAGTTCGTTTTCTATACCATCATCAGTTTTGCACCAATATTTATTTTGGCTTTACTTCAACTTCATAGTTTAGATCACGAATCAATTGAAGCTAGACCATCCTAGAAAAACTGAAAGTACTGCTAGGCCATTTCGTCCCATTATGGGACTCCACAATCCCGCCTCACAAGATCCGTAACCCATGACCTATCAGTCTCGCGCGCGGGCGCTAATTTTTTTCATAAACCTTTCATATAAATATTATCAGTCAGTCAGTCAGTCAGCTACAACGTAGGACCAGGCACATATATGTATCGATCCAAGTTCCCATACCTCATTAACACAACAAGATGAACACCGAATTCATAGAAGTAGTTAATTTAGTGGTGGTAGTATGTAAAAGATAGGTTACATACAAGGATATAGTATAGGAAGGAAGAAAGTTATGAAGCAATTTTAATCTCAAGGTTTAAGGGAAGATAAAGAGTGTATACACCTACGCCATTGTGATCGATTATGAACCATGTCACCTAGAGTCTCCAACCATTGGTTACGATAGTCATGCGGATCCCAACCAAGTAGTCTGCATCTACTAGCATGACTCAGACTAGAAATTAGTTACTTCAAACACTGATGCCACGTTTTGGTTTGTCCGCCTCTAACTCTCTTCCAACCATCCCCAATACTAATCAGCATAGCGCGTCGTGGTAATCGATGTTCAGGCATACGTAAATATTATAGAACAATTCAATCATTATTAAAACATTGAAAATGAACGATGCATAAAATTCATTTATATTTGATACTATAATGAAATGAAAAATATTTTCACATAGAAACAAACCAAAGATATACAAAGATGATTATGATAAATGGTAATCATATAATAATGATTGATCATTCATTTCCTACCATATTCACTGAAAAAGGATTACCCAATACAAGATTGGATAAAGAATGTTGGTGGGCCGCTGATACTCCTCCACGAAGGGGGTAGTAACAGCTGTCAGTAAGTAAGTAAGTAGGTATATTGATTATTGAATAGTTTCCTTGACCCCACCTATAATAATTCAATATCGGATCGACATCTTTGTTTTAAATAATGACGACTATGTATTAGCTGATTATAACGTAATTCACGTTGTTGTTCTTCTGTATCACCAGGGAATGCATAAAATGCTGGAAATATATGTAATTTATATAATTTTGTTAAACGTGTTATTCTATATAATATACGATGTATTTGTAATTGGGATGGTGGTATAAATGATTGAATGCATAGTACTCGTAATGTACATGCTTTATTCATCCATTTATTAGTATATTGTGTATCCAGATTCTCTTGTTCATCATTTTCAATTAAGCTCTATGTTTATATATCAAGGAGAAACAGAATGAAAATATATATAAAGTTACTGAGATGTAGTTAAGATGGTGACTTAAATGGATTGATTTTAGTGGGATTTTGTTCTTTGAGTTGGATGGTTTGATCGGGTAGTTTTCATTGTTATCATATGATCTTAACTATAGAAATATATTAAAATCTCCACAAAAACCCCAATACTTTTGATAATGATCATATGCTCATTAGTGACTGACTTCATGAAGTAATTCTTGGAGTTCTAATGAGAAGTCGTGGCCAGTGGTGTTAATCCATGTCAGGTAGAGACAGGTATCTAGCTGAGTGCAATGGAAGTTAGTCGCGCAATTTTGTGGATTGGTTGAAGTTAAACATTAACACCGTCAGTGGTCTATCGGTCAGGTTCGAATCCCGCGGGTCGGGATCATGGATGTGCACTTCTGAGGAGTCCCTCGATGAGACGAAACGGCCGTCAAGTGCATCCATGTTTTCCCTGATGGTCTAGCTTCAATTGACTCATAACCTATATAAAATTTTCATTGTTATTCTGAACGATATCATCAACACAAACTTTAATTTGATATTATTCAGAATAACGATGAAAGCTCTACGATCAAACCATCTAGCTCAGAGAAAAAATCTCCATCAGAAACAGTATAGTAGTTCTCTGATATTACTGGATAATGTTTAACACTGAATTAGATTGAATTAGATGACATATCGTTGCCATATTGGTACGTTCGCTACTTGATTAAAGCAGAATACGATATACAACTAACGGCTCTCCAAAGTACAGAATCCCACAGTCGCAAACTAGACGACACAAGAAGCAGGAGAACTGATTGTTCAGTAAGAAATAAAACTGTGCGAAAAACATGAGTATTTATAGATATTAGTGTTTGCTATACCATATTTATAATTCAGCCAATTGACAAGGAGGCAAGAGAGTCGTAGCATACCACGTTGATATTCTAGAAAGCTCCATCAGGTTCTGAGTGTATGGAGACTCCTCGGTCCCTTTAGGGCCCCTGGGGTTTCCATCGTTCTTCTCGGATGCCGTCCCAACACATATTGGGTCACTTTGTCCTTCATCGAAAAAGTAATAGGTTTGAATAGAAATTCAGTCTTAGGTATGATTTTAGGTGGTTGAGGGACATTGACAGTAAAGCCTACATCATTTTAGTTTTCTCTTAGCTAACATTTGTGCCCATCTAGTCTAGGTAAAACTGATTTTTTTCATGAGATTTATTCATATAACTTGGTTAACGTTTCTGTGTTACGCTATACTGTTGGTTATTAATATAATTTAAAGTAATTCATTCATTAAGTACTTGGGCACGAGCCACATTCCAAGTGTGAAGGATAATGACATTTCCCGGATGTCTAAGCTTAAGTAAGTAGAGCTCGGTTCGAATTCGAGGTTTATTGACCGAAATTCAAACACCTTAAACAATAAAGCCACCACCCAAGCTATATCCAGTCATTTCTATGACTTACATATCATAAGATCGGATAATGATTTATTTTAATCAATTACTTGGACTTAACGTTTTATACTTCTATTTTGTTACCAAAATGTAATCTTGAATCTACCTTCTTTTTACAAGCTAATATTCTCATTTGATGTCTTTTGAATTGCATCATGTGTTTGCCATGTTCTGAGGCTCAATTCAATCAAACAACACCCCCGCCATTGTGAGAAGGCAGTGAGTAGGACTTCCCTGACAGAGGCTATATACGCGTGGCCATGTGAGAGCATTTGAAGAGGGAGAGCGAACTCTCCCCACTCTCAGCCATACCAGGGCGTTTGAAGGCTAATAGACTTCACTTCTTAATATATGTAAACTCATGGTGTTTACCCTTCATCTATACATCTGTATATATATACATCAATGCACAAAATGGAAGGAAAATTTCTACTTACATTTGAAGGATCCATTCCAGCCATTAGACTAAGTAAATCAATTAATCGTTCAGTTGATAAACATGTATAAGCTATTGATAAACAAACTAATCGACCTCTTGGTTTAAGACAAACATTTTGTACAAGTTCATAAAGTGTTTCTTCTGGTACAACTGATAAATTATTACGTGAAAGATTTAATTCATATAAACCATGTAATGGACGCCATTGATGTACTAAATAATGAATATCTTCAGATGAAAGACAACAATCCTAAAAATAATAAACAGAAATATACATTCAAGTAAAGCAGTGGTTTATTTGGTTACATTTAAACTCATTTCTGATAATTAAGTTGTAGATTAATATAATGTATACAGGATCAACTAAATGATCTTTTAGAATCGAGCCGTGCTGAACTGTTCTAGCTTGACAGTCCTCAATAGTGTTCACCTACAATAGTCTACATAATAATGTACTAATAAAGTGAATGGGAACTCAGGTGAGGATAACCAATTTATTGATTGGTGAATACAAACTTACAAAATAACTTCGAACAATACGAAAACCAAATACTCAATACTTAATTTAGAACAACATATATGTTGTTCTAAATCACAATATGGGAATTTTTCAAATACTTAATTTGTATATCTTCCATCCATTGTCTCATACGAACTTAATCATTCATTCATTCCTATGATTGTTGCAATTACTTTGTGTTTACATCCTTGTTCTCTTTAATTCAGTCTACATAATCTTCTACTATCAGTCATGCTACTTTCAATTGGTGTTACATACTACTTATTTCAACGGACGTAAGTATCATACATCACACTACAAATTAGCAACCAGCTTTGAGTGAAACAGTAACTAATCAATGATATGAAAAATACTAAATCTCCACAAAACCCCCTCTGATAATTGATATGCTAATTCACAAATTGACTGATTTCGCTTTATTTCACAGATTAATCATTGTGTGGTAATCAATATAATATCTATCTAGTCCTTATAGGTGATAGAATCTTTACAATTAAGTTCCAGTGTCCAACCATTAGTCTAAGCTACTCGGGACCGGGTGTACCACGTTTGAATGTTGTGTAATTTGAAACAGTTGTTATGAAGTTTTGGAATCAGGTTTCGTGCTAGTCAACATTTATCATCATCTGAATGTCCTAGGGGAAAATGGTGAATCCTGATGAGAATCAAACTCGTATTACCAATTATTCTGGTCCTAACTGTCAGATAAGAAGGTTTTAGTATGGATCAAATGTTAACTCTTGATTATCAACTGCTAAAGAATCCTATATTGTAACACAACGTTTCTATTCTATGCTCTTTTGTATCCGAGTGTTTCTCTAGGCGACGTGTTTCTATGATAAAAATGCCTTTAAACCTCAGTAAACAAAACGCAAAAATATGGACAATCAGTTAACATTCAATGGACTTTCAGTTTATCATGTAGCTGCGACAAATAGGTGACAGCTGTACCAAAAATAGCAACGATTGACAATGAAGAACATCAATGCATACTTAATATACCTTCTAACCAATAAAATAAAGTCAATAATATACTAACTGGGATAACTGACAGTTACAACACAGTGCTAACAAGAGATTTAATTTTATTCATTTAAAGCTCCCTTACATGTACTTCTTGAGTACTCCACTGAAGTGCATGCCTACTTGTTAAATGAAAACAACGGACAAAGTGAAGGTTGGAGACTGAAATGAGATCTGCAGAGTATACTCTTACAACCAAAATTCATGCATTAATTAAACGGTGAAATGCCCGAAAATGCCAAATACCACACAAATTAAACATCAGGAGACGAATGACCTGCAAATTCACAAACATGTGCCCTGAATCGTTCTATGTTTCCTTCGCATACCTATTTCACTATTTGCCACCATTTTCAAAGTTATTAGAATGACTACTTTCTGACATTGTAAATTGTCATTTCCCCCCCCAACCAATGAAAATCAATCTTATTTGTTACACAGAGTTGGATAATGACCAGCAATAGAATCCAGGACTCGCATTTCCTCCTGTTTAGAACTCATCAGTTAAGTTTGCCTTGACCTTGATATCGATGTCCACACTCGTTCCTCAAGCCAGTAGACACTTAGAATCAGTAACTAAGTGGATAGTGAGTTGAACTGAAATTTACTAGGTCCAAGTCCCGATATGAACAACATTGTTGTGTAGATACATTCACGTGATGAGTCCCAAATAGGATTGCTTCCTCATCACTGCTCAGTATGTATGTGTTTGATTATCTTTTCTTTTCTAATTGGTTGAATTACATCCAGTTTTTGTACTGAATGTAGTAATTTATGTTTTAGATGAAATTCCTAAAGAATAGATTTCTATGTCTTGATTAATAACTCTGCATAGAAACTAATTTGACAGTTTTACGGTGTATTTCCTTAAAGACACTTGAAGGGAACAGTACTAAGTTTTTCATTGTGATTGGACAAAGCATGCATTGACGTTTCGACAACTTAGAATTCCTTTTATGAATCAAAGTCATTCAGTGATTTAAGAGTGATAGTTTAGATATGACAACTATCGTTTCAGTGTATACTCTCTCGATAATCAGAATTTCATGATGTTTGATAACATATAGATGAGGGATAGACTTCCATGATTGGTAAACTTGATAATCAGCTTGTAAGAGAGTTGAAGATATTACCTTATCTAACAAATTGATGTAGATATAAATCCGGTTCATTCGTTTGTTCGCATTCATTACTGTCTTCCACGTTCACAGTCAGTTTTCGGCTTTATTGTGTACAAATGTTATTTCCTATTTTATGGTGCGTTACGGTTTGTTTAGCTGATATATAAACCCAGTATATCTGAAATAAATGATTTGCATAGAAGAAGCTGTTATTGATGTTCTGGACTCAACTGGAAGGGCCTTACGGATAAGGACGCTAGGCTGCTGATACCGGTCAAATGTCATTGGTTTGGCACAGTACTAATATTGGGTAAGTTTTGCTTTGATTGGTGAATCAATCACGTCATAAAAAACAGCCTTTAAGTCACAACAAAGATAGTTCACTACAAGGTTGTAGCTCTCCGCACTACGGAGTTAAGTAGTTACTCATAAGTACTATTGGATTCAAAGTTAAATTATTCAGGTATGTTTTAGAAAATACAAAATGAGGATAGAAGAATTAACAGTATTTTAATACCTGTAAATTTAAATACTCCAATGGTTGACTTAATCCACCAAGTAAAGTTTTTAATTGTCCAGTTAAATGACATCTTGCTAGTCCAAGTCTTTGTAAATATCTTAATGATACAAGTGCTCTGTTTAAAAGTCGACATGCAGCAACTGTTGAAGTGAATGCTGGTGTGACAAAATTTTGTAATGTATTATTTGTTGTTGTAGTCGAAGACATTGAAGAAGTAGTACTAGTGTTGATATTGTTACTACTGTTAGCACCAACTGTATTGTTAGTGTTGGAAGTAGAAGAGGAAGACGATGAGGGAGAGGATCCAGAAGAAGATAATGACATAGTGTTTGATTGTTGAGATGAGTTTGATTGTAAACCACCCGTATTCGATACTACAATAGTTGTTGGTAATGTCGGTGAAGTCGGTGTATTCGGTACAACATCCGGAGGTGGAGGTATACAGGAAGGTAATGAACAAGCTCTCAAATTACGAAGACTAATTAACCAACCAACAGCAGATGGTAGAACAACAGCTATACTACTTCCAATTGTAGGATCTTCCATTTCAAATTGTGTAATTGACTAAATGTATATGAAAAGAAAAAGTCTTTCGAAAATGTCAGTCATATATTTAATGCATTTATAATACATGAACAATGGGTCAATCCGAAGTCACCAAATGAGAGGGCCACACTGTACTAATCGAAATTCTCCCAATGAATAATACAACGCTCAAAACCATGTATACTCATCAATTAGTGGCACTAGTCAAATGAGAGATGACAGTTGTACAATGTTGCACTGAATCTAAAAAAATATTTACTCATTACCGTCCTCTTGACAAGCCCTTAAGACCTATCAACTGTTATGTAAGCTTTAAGATTAACCGTTAGGCTGTTACATTAAATATTTTTTGTTCGGATAATATTACTCTCATCAGGGCATTTAAGGGGTGTCGTTTACGAAATTGAGAGGACAAAAACTGAATGTCCGACACTGTAATCGGGTTGGTGGACACAGAAGGTCCATCTCGGAGGGTTGGAAAACCCTGACTTCAGACCAATGGCGTATGAACCAATTATTAGTCACCGGCTACCATGGAACTGCATCTTCTCACGTTGCCCCATTGTTTTGTGGATCAGACCTTTAGGTTGAAGGCTCCGGGTGTGGCCTCTTAATAAAACTACCCGCTTCATTAAAGGCGACCGGGTAGTATCATATACCATACACAAATCAAGTGACTTGTGTGGCCCTTATTTATTTGGTGCCCCTTTGTGCCAATATTTATGTGCTTATATAAGTAAGTAAATAAATAAAATTACTCCCATCACAGAAATCCTCAGAAAATTATATTTATCAACATTTTGAAACAATGTCTGCTAAACTAGTGACTGACTTCAAGAGATATTTCTTGGAGTTCTAGTGGGAAGCAATGACCAGTGGAGTTCAACCATGTCTGTTGTAGAGATATCAACTCACTGAAGACAATTGGTGAACGGTTGCTCAGATTTTGTGGATTGGTTGAAGTTAGACATTTACCCCATTGGATGCTGGCTCAGAGGTCTATCGGTTAAGTGATCTGGTGAGAGACTGGTAGGTCCTAGGTTCAAATCCCGCGAGGCGGGGTCGTGAATGTGCACTGCTGAGGAGTCCCATAATAGGACGAAACGACCGTCCAGTGCTTCCAGGTTTTCCATGGTGGTCTAGCTTCAATTGACTCATGATTTCAACTATGAAAATACTGAAATCTTCACAAAACCCCTTCTGATCTATAAACTGATTTAATCAGTGTAACAATTTAGGTTCCGATATTTTATTTTGACTGTGTAAATTACAACAACGAGACTCAATCAGACAATGAGAATAATAGTTGTTCGATTATTAGATCAGTTCATTCTAACAGAATTTATTGTTGATTATTCAATTACTTCAGGTTGATCAATAAACCGATTCTGATACATCTCAACCAACATCTCCAACTATCAATCAAGATGATCGACAGGACTACTACAATGTAGTCTGCACCTACCTGCATAACCTGAATCAACTGTCAGTAACCCTAAAGACTGATATTACATTTTATTTCCTCCACTCCTAGTTTTCTTCCAACCAACTCCTACACCATCCAACAAAAAACATCAAAGTAGACGGTATTTGGTCGTATATAATATAAATATCAATAAACTTGGTCAATAAAGATTGACATTCTCATCATCTGGTTTACGAACGTTGTCTAGCCTCAGCATCGATCACTCGATTGTTTCACGGTGAGCGAGTGGTGATTTAAAAACATCCAAGATCAAAAATATGCAGCGCACTTATGTCTTTTTTTGAAGATAATTAAAGTGATCAATGCACTCAACCATTTCACTTCCTCTGATAGGTCTAGGCGATGAAAGATAAAGAATTTTCCATTTGCAGGAGTGTAGGGCAAACAAATGGACATGCTTGGGTTATTAGTCAAGTCGTTAAACGAACTCTACATTATGCAAACGTCTAAGCAAAATGAGCTAACAATGATAATGAATAGATCACATTTTTACCATCTAGCTCAGTGAAAGCAACATACTTGCACAAGCAAGTGGCTATCAGGACTTAGTGGCCGAGTGGATAACGCGATGACGTTTGAAGCGAATAGTACTGGGTTTGAATCCCAGAGTGAACATCAACTCTGAAATGTAGGTACATCCAGCTGACGAGTCTCAAATAGGACGAAACGTGTATCAAACTGGATTCCACTGCTAGTCACTATCCATCTTTGCTTACCATGCGTGTGAATTTACGCTCTATTGAGGCAATACGCATAGTATGCACATATGCCGATCAGAGACTGACCAGTTGCAGTCCCAACATATCGATGAGAAGATTCAAACAAACAATACCAAGTGAATATGAACGTTTCATTTGGAGAGGATTATTTTTAAAAAGATGTACCCAAACAAGTGTACTTACCAATGGATCAAATAATCTTATTAAACTATATGGTGGAAAATTAATTTCTGGTAAACGTTGTAATAATAAACGATTACATGAAAATCGAAATGGTGTTAATGTTTGTAATGATAAGCCAAGAGCAACTTCATCTACTGTCATATTACAATCTAAATGAATTGTAACTGTATCTACAAAAAAAGGAAAAAAAACACAAGTCGTTAGTAATAATGTTGTCATAGAGATCAAGAACCAAACTAAGCTAAGCAAGTATTAAAAACATGGGAGCATTAAACAGACGTTTCGTTCTACTGTGGGACTTATTTATTATTTAAACACATAAATATTGGTACAAAGAAACACCAGATACATATGCGCTACACAAATCTCATTTGATTTGTGTGAAGGGTGTGATACTGCCCAGGTGTTCAAACTGAAGCAGGTGGTTTTCTCAGGGGGCCACACATGGAGCCTTTGACCTGAATGTTTGATCCACAAGGAAGTGGAGCATTGTGCAGTCCCATGGTAGCCGGTGACCAATGATTGATTCATATTCCATTTGTTCCTTCAGGATACTGGAGTCCATGTGTACCATTGGTTTAGAATGAGTGTTTTCCAACTCCCCTAGGTGGACTTTCCGTGTCCAAAAACCCGGTTAAAGCGCCGGACATTCTCTTTTCGTCCTCTCAATTACTTAAACAACACCCCACCACGAGAAGGCAGTGAGTAGGACTTCCCTGGCAGAGGTTATATACGCGTGACCATGTGAGAGCATTTAGAGAGGAAGAGTGGACTCTCCACACTCTCGGCTGTAAACACATGTATGCATATATGTTTGAAAAATCAGTAAGCAACTAAAATAATCGATTTTTTTCGGTTGCCTTTGTTTATCGTTTGTACAAGATGCCCAAATGTTTATTTGTTTGTATGTTTTTTCTTTTAACCAACTATGTCAATTAATATTTTGATTGAAGTATTATGATGTTACAGTTTTGCCCTAGAAATGTATTGATGCTTCCTATAGTTCTATAATGAAAATTGTTAGCTATGCATTTTTGCTACATGGAAACAAGACTATTAGTTAACAACAAATAACATCAATGAAAAATATGGTTATCCTAATTTTTGGACACTATTCAATTCAGTACTATTAGTAGCTATGTGATTTTGTTTTATACAATACTATTAATAACAAAATCGATACAGAATACAATCTAACCAATAGGGATTCGATATCAATATTGTTAACTGAAAGTTTCGTCCCTGGTAAATTATTCCTCATCATTGTAAACTTCTAACTTTAATTACATGATCTGGTTTTCATGATAGATTGTTATGACAGGGGGGGGAATAAAAATACTTTCTCTTTTCTAATGTGTACTACTATTACACGATAATAGTGTGGTGTGGTCTACTTATATCCATATAAGTAGTATATGGTGTGGGTCAGACATAGAATGTATTTTGGCAGAAGACCGATGACGAAAGAACTGGAATGAAGCGCAATCGTCTGGAAAATGCATGAGCAATGGAATTAGAGAAGAAACAGTGAAGATTGAAACAATTGGTTGTTAATTTGCAAATTGACTGTTCATTGTTTGGTAATCAGAATTTATTGAGATAGTCTGTAATCTTTGCTTAAATACATTCGATTGTCCCCAACTAGTGTTCTATTCATTACATTTGGTGTCGCTGTCAACCGGGAGGAGGAAGGGTGCTGTTCTGCGGATGCCGCTGCCGGTCTGGAGTGGAAGTGCTAGTTGGGGCAGTCTGGTGCGGAGGGGTGGCGTCGAGTGGAGTGTTCTGGCGGAGCGGCGTTGGCTGTAGCGGGTGCTGTCGACGGAGAGGAGCAGTGGGACGTGCGGCTGCTGGGCGGACATCGGATGTAGATGGCTCAGCAGGCCGGTGGAGTACGGGTGTTGAACGTCCCAGGTGCCGGGTGGATGCGGATGTTGGTGCCCCGGCAGGTCGACGGAGCTATGGAGGTCAGCGCGCCGCAGACTCGACATTCTGACGGAGAGTTTGGCACAGACTGCAGTGAATGAAGATAGTGGCGTGGCGAGCAGAACCACCGCATGAACGAATGCTTTAAAGGGGGGACGAGTGTGGTGTGGTCTACTTATATCCATATAAGTAGTATATGGTGTGGGTCAGACATAGAATGTATTTTGGCAGAAGACCGATGACGAAAGAACTGGAATGAAGCGCAATCGTCTGGAAAATGCATGAGCAATGGAATTAGAGAAGAAACAGTGAAGATTGAAACAATTGGTTGTTAATTTGCAAATTGACTGTTCATTGTTTGGTAATCAGAATTTATTGAGATAGTCTGTAATCTTTGCTTAAATACATTCGATTGTCCCCAACTAGTGTTCTGTTCACAACAATAGGACTGGGGACCGAGATTATACACTATACATGACTAATAGTGTTGTTTACGAAATTCAGAGGACGAAAAGCGAATGTCCGGCGTCTTAACCGGGTTGGTGGACACGGAAAATTCATCTAGGGGAGTTGGAAAACCCTCATTACAAACCAATGCTGCACATGGGCTGGCTCCAGTATCCTGAAGGAACAAATGGAGTATGAATCGATCGTTAGTCACCGGCTACCATGAGACTGCATCTCCTCACAATGCTCCACTGCCTTGTGTATCAGATCATTAGGTCAAAGGTTCTAGGTGTGTCCCCCTAAGAAAGTCATCTGCTTCGATTTGGGCACCCGGGCCGTATCACAGCCCTCATACAAATCAAATGAGATTTGTGTGGCTCATATATATCTGGTGCCCGCTTGTACCAATATTTATGTGTTCATATAAATAAATAACTAAATAAAATCACTTGTCCAATGAAATTCGAGCTTTCAGTATAGGGAGAGGATCTAAAATTACACTAGGAAATCATTGTCTACTGAGTAAGATAAGTTCAAATTTATGATTAAACACATATCCTCGATGTTCAGATAGTTGGGAGAAATTAACAAAAAGTTCTGTTTTCACACTCATCAACTAGGTGTTTTACAGAGTTTCAGGTTACTAATGCCTCTCGTTGAATTTGAAATTATACAACCCATTTCACAACCAGAGATATTCTAGTTGAATTATTCAAGTCGTAATTCATCTTTTGGAGAAATAAGATATTTACACCAACCGATCAGTTATTAGGATATAATCTCAATTTCTCAACTCTTTAGTCTTGATCAAATTGCCTCGATTTGGAACGTATCTAAGACCATACTATCGTGGAGCATTTTGTTTACCTTTCAGTGATTAAAGGCAAGCAATAGAAAGCTATACACTTATATATTGTACCACTTGACACTACCTAAAATCGCATTCAAAATTGTGTAGGGACTGATTTACCGAGAGCGATTCAAAACCGTCATCTTTAATATCGAGGGTTGCTGACATTTTATTGCAGATAAAAACAACATCTATAACATTAACTGGCAATGTCAGGTTCTTTCAAACAACTAAAGAGTATCTATTCTTTAAGCAGGAAGTTTCAAAGTAGACAATTGAATTCGGGGTTTGTTTCGTTGTTATTATTCTCATGCTAACTTTCATAATTAAACTCCACCTGTAGCCCCTCTGGGAGCTACTGCCCGTCCCAAGCCCGGATAAAGGAGGAGGGTTGAGCATAGGGTTAGCGACCCCATCCCATAGAAAACTAACTCGCTAAGGAAAACGCTAACCAGTAAGTAAGTAACTTTCATAGTTCGTTGTTCTAATGCGTTATCACAATATTCAAGTCAGTTAGTCAGTCAGTAAACCAGTTCACTGTGATTTATCCACTTGTTTTTATTTACTTGAACAAATAAATATTGGTACAAAGTGGTACCAGATATATATGCGCCACACAAATCTCATTTGATTTGTGTGAAGGATGTGATACTTCCCAGGTGCCCAAACCGAAGTAAGTAGTTTTCTTAGGGGGGCCACACATGGAGCCTTTGACCTAAAGGTCTGATACAAAAGACAGTGGAGCATCGTAAGGAGATGTAGTCCCATGGTAGCCGGTCACCAACGATTCATACGCCATTTGTTCCTTCAGGGTACTGGAGCCAGCCCATGTGCACCATTGGTTTGGAATGACGGTTTTCCAACTCTCCTAGGTGGACGTGCCGTGTCCACCAACCCAGTTAGAGCATCGGACATTCGCTTTTCGTCCTCCTTAATTACGTAAACAACATCCCAGCTACGAGAAGGTAGTGAGTAGGACTTCCCTGTCAGTGGTTGTATGTGTGTGGCCATGTGAGAGCATTTGGAGAGGGAGAATGTATTCTCCTCACTCTCGGCCGTACCAGGGCATTTGGGGGCCATTTGACAGAAGTTAAACTTGTTAGCTAAATATTTTTTTTAAAATTAATTATATAATAACTTGTTACTCACCAAATTGTTCACCATGTCCAATATCTGCTTCATGAAATGCATAAATAGTAGATATTCTAGAAAAATAAGCTTCAAGACGTTTTCTTGGTATACCAATATGTAAACTAGCCATTAAATGTCTACGTACACTTTCAGAATTACGATTTTCTGGTTTCATCCATAGTATGGGCAATCGTGATAGTTCAATACTTACACGACAATCTATTTAAAATGAATTATGAAGATCAACATCAACTCATACTATATCATATATACTACTATAAATCAAACTTCAAATAGTAATCAATATGATTATCTACACAACATAGCAAACTGATTAGTTGGTGGAACTCGGTTATTATATCAGTGTAAATGGCTTTGAGATATGTTGATATATGTAAGGAGTAATGACTGTCCAAAAACACAATCGGCGAAGTAAGACAAGAATCTATTAGTCATTCAGCTACAACCTTCTGGACGCTTCCCAGTTGCCCACGCCGTGGAAGGGTTCTTCTAGAGGTATTTGAAAAGGAAATTGCGTTAGAAGTGGTCTTAATGACCTGAGAACGTGACCTCAGTGCCCAAGGCACAACTACTTGAGGTCGGTCACACACGACCTTTTGGTGGGTAGTTTTTGTGTTAGCTCCGTACTCTTTGGGACCTTACCGCCGGAGACGGATATCCGTGGGATAAGGCGAGGTGTGTATTTTTAGGGTCGACCTTTTCTAACCTCACCCCTCCTTGTGGGAAGGCAGAATCGCTGTTATGCTGTTTGTCTGAAAGAAACACCTTACTGCTGTCACACCTCTGTACAGTTAGCAGTACGACTTCACCTTCGGACCTTGGGTTTGTTGCTTTCAGTCTAACCGCTCTTCAACCGACCTGTCTGGCATGGTATTTTTATTTTATTTATTTAAACACATAAATATTGGTACAAGGAAGCACCAGATAAATATGCGCCTCACAAATCTCATTCGATTTGTGTGAGGGCTGTGATACTGCTCAGGTGCCCAGACTGAAGTAAGTGGTTTTCTTAGGGGGCCACACCTGGAGCCTTTGACCTGAATGTTTGATCCACAAGGCAGTGGAGCATTGTGAGGAGATTCAGTCCCATGGTAGCCGGTGATCAACGGTTGATTCGTACGCCATTTGTTCCCTCAGGATACTGGAGCCAGCCCATGTGCAGCATTGGTTTGGAATGAGGGTTTTCCAACTCCCCTAGGTGAACTTTCCATGTCCATCAACCCGGTTAAAGCGCCGGACATTCGCTTTTCGTCCTCCTTAATTACGTAAACAACATCTCGGCCACGAGAAGGCAGTGAGTAGGACTTCCCTGGCAGAGGCCATATATTCGCTGGCCATATGAGAGCATTTCGAGAGGGAGAGGTGACTCTCCCCATTCTCGACCGTGCCAGGGCATTTGGGGGCCATGGTAGGACCTTGAGGAACGATTGTTCCAGCCAGTATAGCTCGATTAGTTCATCGCGATAGGCAAGCCCGACGACCACGTCAAGGTAGCAGCAACGGTCGCGAAGACAAGAATCTATGGCTTAATGTTTATTATAACTATCAAGCTGGAAAGTATTCCAGCTAATAATAATGTTAATAATTCCTTGTACCTCTATTTACTTTGCTTATAGGTTACTATGTCCAGTAAATTACTATTGTTAACCAATGGTTGGAGACTCTGGGTGACATAGCTCAGAATCGATCACAATGCCGCAGGTGTATACACTCTCTAACTTTCTTTAAACCTTGAGATTAAAATTGCTTCATATCTTCTTCTCTTCTATGAATTCAGTGTTCATCTTGTTATGCTAATGAGTGAGGTATGGCAACTTGAACCGATGCATATATGTCCCTGATCCTACGTCGTAACTGACTGACTGACTGACTTGGTAACCTTGATACCATGGCAACAATCTCCATTCATAAATACAAGTAATAGGATAAGATAGTAATCACAATAACCCATATCTTACCTTCTTCAAATCCAGTAAAATCAACTGATTTTAATTTACAACCGGATTGTCTAGTTAAAAGCCCCAATATGAATCCATCTAATAAACTTGGTCCTTTAACTAATGTATTACGATTACCATTATCAGGGCTTACTAATACAAATGTTGGTTTAGTCATATAATTTAAGCTAAGTGGATATTCTTCATTTGGTATTAATTGTTTAATAATTAATTGTTCACATGGCCAATTAGCTATTAATCCAGTAATAGCAGCACAATCTCTTTGTAATATTGCTTCAGATAATAAATTAATTAATACAGTCACAGGTAGATCATGGCAAGTTAATGGAAGGGTATTTGTACATGTATTCTCTTTCTTCTTATCACTATCATCATCATCGTCGTCGTCATTAGTGTCGTCCTTTATTGAATGGTTCTGTGTAACTTTTCTATTTTGAGATTGACAACGATTAGTTTTATATCTAGATTCACGTGATGATAAACTTGTTGATCGTCTTGGTCCTGTAATTGAGGTTTCTGTTGATGTCGTTGATGAAGAAGAAGGAGATGTTGTGGTGGGAAAATTCTGTGTAGAATTTGATTTTATATCACGTGAACTAAATAAGAAACTAACTATATTACGTAACGATGAACGTCGGGTAGGTAGCATACATGGCCAATCACGAATTAAACGTGCCATACAAATTTCTGCCAAACTTCTATATGAAAAGAAATTAAGGTAACTTTAATAGAAAACAGAAAACAATAAATGAATTTAACTTTTCTTCTAAGTCAGTGGTAATACCACTAACAGTGGATGACTGAAGTTCGAATCCCATTGAAAACATTTTAACATCTTGCCTGTGAAGGACATCAACTAGCAGAGCACCGGCTTCCATGGGACTGCATCTCCTCACGATGCTCCACTCCCTTGTGGATCAGTCATTTAGGCTAAAGGCTCTGGGTGTGGCCCCTTAAGAAAACCACTTGTTTCGGTTTCGTCACCCGGGCAGTATCACAGACTTCACACAAATCAAATGAGATTTTTGTAGCGCATATGTATCTGGATCACCTTTGTACCAATATTTATGTGTTTAAATAAAATAATAAACGAAATCTTAATCTAAATTAGTAAACGTGGAATCAGTTCTTGAAGTTACTAAATTCTAGTCTGAGCCATGTTGGTAGATACAGACTACTTGGTTGGGATCCGCATGACTATCGTAACCAATGGTTGGAGACTCTGGATGACACGGCTTAGAATCGATCACAATGCCGCAGGTGTATACACTCTTTATCTTCCCTTAAACCTTGAGATTAAAATTGCTTCATAACTTTTTTTCTTCCTATACTATATCCTTATATACAACCTTTCTTTATATACTACCACCACTAAATTAATTACTTCTATGAATTCGGTGTTCATCTTGTTGTGTTAATGAGGTATGGCAACTCGGATTGATACATATATGTGCCTGGTCCTACGTTGTAGCAGACTGACTGACCGACATCAACTAGCCGGAAATCTAGACACATCATTTCTTTCTGGCTTTTAAATAATTCCTTGAATGAAATTCATTGATGATTATAATTAAATTTAAATTGAGCAAATCCAAGCGAAGGAGTCCCACAGTAGGACGAAACGGCGTCCAGTGCTTCCACGTTTTCTATGGTGATCTAGCTTCAAGCGATTAATGATCTCAACTATATAAAATTACTATAATACTCACAAAACCCCTTCTGATAATTCAAGCAGTGTTGGATAGTGAATAGCTAGAGAATACAGGAATAGCTTTTTATCCTGTTTGGGACTATTAATTAAATATACTTCAGCGCTGACGTTCAACACTAGGACTCAAATCTAGAACATTTTGCTTCAAACGTTCAACATTTTATCCACTTGAGTAACTGAGTTCAGATAGACCCAGATTTGTGCAACAGGCTAAGGTTTTCTTCATTTGTAAGAGCTGTTTGAATCTTCTAATTGGTAATATTAAGGAATATAAGTCCTTGATCTTTTTAGGGGGTCAACAAGGAGATAAATCAAGAAACCCTTACAAATTGATTAAATCTATAAGTTTCTTATATTTTCTCACTAGTGAGTATACTTGCTATTCAAACATTTCTTTGGATGTTTGAACTCCGTCGCACTTCTCTTAATTTGATCCATTAGGTAGTATCAATATACTCTCATGTTTAAATTATGGCCCAAGATAGATCTGATGGACTTATTAGTTGTTAAGAGTTACAAATAAATCATGATGCTATGACAACCGTAATTTCATGATTAGATGAATGACATTAAGTAGCAAATATTTTAGCTTTTAAAATCACTTTACACATATATCTATATACTACCGTGTCTCTATACAGCTAGTTGACTCCCAGTGCAAAATATCTAAAACGATATATCAGTACGACTTTGAATCGTCAATCCGACAGTCACAACGTAGAACTTCGTACGTACGTACATCAGTTCGAGTTGCTATACCACATTAGCACAGAGATACAGTTGTCGATTCAAATCCCATAGTGGTAAAGGTAGTAAGAGTATAAGCAGTAATCCGAAAGATTAGGATTTGAAGATGTTATTCAAACAGTAGAATCCAGTGACATTGAATCGTCTGTTAATACGATTAATTGATCAACGCTAAAATAAATTTACCTTCTGTACTTTACTACTTATTTCACTTAAATATTTTGTCCGGAAATATATTCTAAACACGAAGAGCTTTTACGTAGTCTATCTCGTACTGTCAACTCACTCATTTTACTCAAGTGACCAAACCTGTGATTCTCTACTTTGATAGCTATTACGGGGTGAAATCTAGCATGTATTGATCCTGTCTACCCAAAGCTTGAACCCAGCTGGAGAACTACAGGAGTAGTGAACAATATTTAACCAATAACTTATGGAAAGTCTAGTATTTGGATAGTTTCAGTAAGAACGCCAATATGTGATTGAAGGTCTATTCAGATGATGACCTTTATATGGGACAAGACTCGTGTTTTGTATTCAATATGCTTACCCTACATCTTTTGTAACAGACAATATCGATATTTCCATTAGGGAAAGTTATATTCTGTTGGAGCCTAAACAATTCAATCTTGAATACAAATAGCAGGAATGTTTAAACCCACAGGACAATAAAATATAAGAATTAGGACATGATCAATTTTATAAAAGTCACTAGAATGTTGATTCACTGGCCAGCAACAGTGTTTAATGGGAGAGGACAAACCAGCTTCCAGTTGAAGAGGAAATTAGAAAAAGACGTTGGAAGTGGACAGGGCATACATTAAGGAAATCACCAAACTGCATCACAAAGCAATCCCTGAATTGGAATCCGGAAGGGAAGCGGAAAAGAGGAAGGCCAAAGAACACATTACGCCAAGGAATAGAATTAGATATCAAAAGGATGAATGTTAACTGAAAAAAACTGTAAAGGATTGCCCAGAACAGGGTTTGATGGAGAATTCTGGTGTGTGCGGCCTATGTTCCTCCACGAGGGGTAACAGACGTAAGTAAGTAACTAACTAACTAGAATGTTGACCATTTACACTCAAGTTATCAAATATTTCTGTCATTATCAGAAGGGATTTGTGTGAAGATTTCAGTATTTTCACAGTTGAAAGCATTAGTCAATTTGAAGTTAGACCACCAAGGAAAACCTAGAAGCACTGAACTGCCGTTTCGTCCCAATATGGGACTCCTCAGTGGCAGTGCGCATCTACGATCTCGCCTTGCAGGATTCCAGTCCAATTGACTCATGTTTCAACTATAAAAATATCTGTTATTATTTAATCAAATTCTATATCATCATAGAAACTTTAAACTTACCTAGGAGTACAGAGAATTTCATTACCTTCAGGATTCCATTGAATTTCACCTGTACATAAATCTCTTTCTAATAAATAACGACAATGTCCTACAGGTACCCATATATGATCTGGTCTTTTAAGTAATTGTTTCTTTGTAGCATATATTGGTAATCGTCTATTATTTAATAAAAGCATAGAACTATGATGACGACGATGCTGCTGTGGCTGATGACGATGATGATGTGTTATATCTCTATCTGTAATTTGTGTCAATGAACGATTTAACATATCATTTAAATGTCTACAAAATTGTCCATTTGTTTCTGTTGTAACATCTTGATTCAATGAAGAATTCATTAATGTATCACCATCTAATGATCTAGCTGTACGTCTTAGACGTATAATATGATCATGATTTGTATATTTCGGTGTTGATGTACCACTTTCTTCACTATCTTTCCATGTATAATCTACAAGTGTTAAACAACTATGCATTATGATGTATATGTCAAAGAGAAATGTCCGATGTTTTGCCTAAACAGTTAATGAAGTCAGGTTATAAGCGTTGAAGTATTTATTTGTGTGAAGGTAACTACATTATTGATTGTTTAAGATAGGATAGATGTGAATACTGACGATATAACTATTTGTTTCTTTTTCGATGTACAGACATATTATCTAAACCAATCAAATTAAGTCATGTGATTTCAATATGCACAAAGGATTTATTGATCGTCTAATAATGTAATGGGGAAATAAGGGGGAACAATAAAGACTAAATTATATATGGGATCCCGATATTAGATAAGTAATAATGAAATTTTTTTTCTTTGGATATTTTTTACGACAACATAAGAAAGCACTGGTAAGCAAAGATGGATAGTGGCTAGCAGTGGAATCCAGTTTGACGCGCGTTTTGTCTTATTTAGGACTCGTCAGCTGGATGTACCTGCATCTCAAAGTTGATGTTCACTCTAGAACTCAAACGCGGTTGCAATCTTAAACATCAATGGGAAGATTCAAACAAATAATACTAAGTGAATTTAAACTTCACCCCATTTCACAAGCAAATGTCTATCAGGACTCAGTAGCTGAGTGGATAACACGATGGCGTTTGAAGCGAAAGGTACTGGGTACGAGTCCTAGAGTGAACATCAACTCTGAGATGCAGATACATCTAGCTGACGAGTCCCAAATAGGACTAGATGCACGTCAAACTGGAATCCACTGCTATACACTATCCATGTTTGCTTAGAATGCTTGTGAATTAAGGCAATATCGAGGCAATACGCACATTATGCAGATATGCCAATAAGAGACTGACTAGTTGAAGTCCTAAACATCAATGGGAAGATTCAAACAAACAATACTAAGTGTATTTATTGTAGTTAAAGTTCATAATCCTTTTGATCTGTAAATCTTTATACTACTTACTTTACTTAATTAATCCTGTTACCTCTCTAGAAGAAGTATAAGCCTCCCACCAACACTCTCAATCCAACTCTGTCTTGGGAAATCCTTCCCAGTTCCTTCCAGTTAACATCCTTCCAATTCCCGATGTAGTGTGTCCATCAGCCTTCCTCTATTTTGTTTCCCTTTAGGATTCCAAGTTAGGGCTTGCTTCATGATCCAGTTTGGTGATTTCCGTAATGCTACCTGCTATTTCAAATATTCAACATTTTATGAAATAGAATTTTGTAAAATCTATTTTTAAATAAGCACTTTAGTTTATTCAAGGAAAAGAAGTTGGAAATGGATAGGATACACATTGAAGAAATTACCAATCTGAATCACTAGGTAATCTCTAACTTGAAATCCTGAAGGGAAGCAGAAAAGTGGAAGGCCAAAGAACACACTACTTCGGAAATAGAAAGTAAACATAGAAAGAATGAATAACAACTGGAAAGAATCGGAAAGAATTTTCCATGATAGAGTTGAATGGAATGTGCTAGTAGGCGGTTTATACTACTTCACGAAGGATAACAGGTGGAAATAAGTAATTAATCTTCAAATTAATCAACTTAATCTCTACCAAACACTTAATATAACTTGTTAAATAACTTGTTTTTGTCTTTAGGCTTAAAACAAAACAATGCCAAAGGCTGGTTAAAATCTATGTTGTTTTCCTGAATGATATATATATATATCATATGATCATTAGTTGTTATTTGTTAGGCTAGTCAAAGCATAATTATTAGACATGTACTTTGTAAGATGTTCACATTTCATTTTTATGACCTTAAAGGTCATTAGTTAGCTAATAGTAATACAATGTATATATCATACAGTTCTAATAATCTTTGTCTTCTTATTACACTATCGAAATTTATCATGCTTAAGTGAGATTTCATTATAATAATACACTACTATACAGTGGCATTATTGTGGTGTGTACTACTGATGTCGACAGATATAAGTAGTATGTATTCATTAATCAAAAGTGAAATACCTGGAAGTAGATGGTTAGAAAGATCGAAGAAAAGAGTGATTAGTGCGGAAACGAAAGAACAATAAAGTTTGAGATGATTGACTGACATTTTGTAAATGAAGAATTTACTGTATGGTTCTTACATGTTACTAAGATATTCTGTAAATTGGTGTTCAAATACATTCAATTGTCCCCACTTGTGTTCTCGTTTATTACATTATGTGTTATATCCCGATGAGAATAGTGAATGGTTAAGCAACTAAACTATGTTTATTCATATTCCTCTTATTATAAGCTTTATTTTGACCTATAGACTATTACTATACGATTCGCCATTCTTAAGTTATGCCCAGTTTAGACATTAACATCGTTGGATGCCCGCTCAGTGGTCTAAGGGTTAACCGTTCGAGCGCGAGATCAAAGGTTCTGGGTTCGGTTACCACGTGTGGGATGCGCACTCCTGAGAAATCCCATACTATGACGAAAATACGTTAGAAGTAGATAGGATATGCATTAAGGGAATCATAAAACTGCATCACGAAGCAAGCAGTGACTTGTAATCCTGAAGGGAAGCGGAAAAGGGAAAGAGCAAAGAACACATTATGCTGGCAAATGGAATCACATATGACAAAGATGAATAAGAACTGGAAAGAACTGGGAAGGATTGCCTAGGACAGGGTTGGATGGAGAGTGCTGGTGGGCGGCCTATGCTCCTCCATGAGGGTTAACAGACGTAAGTAGTAGTAGAAGCATAATCTGTTTAATAAATATGTCAACTAGGTTGATAAGTTTTAGTTTGATCTAAATGGTCTATTTTTATTCAATTACTGATCGATAAAAGTTTAAGTTTACATGTAAGTGTTACTGTTATCTCTAAATACTTGTTTCTATGTCACCTTCCTATCCGGAATATGTTTTATCTGCCTTTTATTTAGAACTTCTCAAAAACATGAGGTATAATCTGAAACCGTATTTGTTTAATCTGAATGGATGGCTGTGTTTGTACATTCAGAAGTGATTGCCCTCGAGCTAATGGTCTATAATTGTATCATTAAAGGAGACTATCCTCTCTATTCATCACGATTATCCTCCTGAAAAAAGTCATTCGATAAAGATAAGAATGAAGTAATAAAACAGTTGAAAAATTTGTTTTCCACGGAATTTCATGATTTTTTTGAACAATCAACTTCTTCAATTCATTTGCACAAGCAAATGGCTATCAGGACTCAGTAGCTATGTGGATAACGCGATAGTTTTTAAAGCGAAGGGTACTGAGTTCGAGTCCCAGTGTGATAACCAACTGTGAGGTGCAGGTATATCCTGCTGACGAGTGTCCAATAGGACGAAACACTCGTCAAACTGTATTCCGCTGCTACACACTATCCATTTTTACTTACAATGAACATCTTGCCATTAAGAATGATTATTATATGGAAGAGATTAAAAAGAATGCTGTTTCGCAAATTTTGTTGTTCAGATCTTGGTTAGCGTATTAATTGAACAGACTAGTGTATACTAATTTAAGGAAAGTATGTAACAGTTAAACATTATTGCATATTTGGATAGTGGCTAGCAGTGGAATCCACATCGATGCGCGTTTTATCGTATTTGGGACTCGTCAGCTAGATGTACCTGCATCTCAGAGTTGATGTTCACTTTGGAACCCGAACCCATTAATTTTCGCTTCAAACGCCACCATGTTATCCACTCAGCTACTGAGTCCTTATAACTATATAGAGTCAATGCGAACAGTATGCACACATACCAATTAGAGACTGACCATTTGCAGTCCTAAAAACATCAATGGGAAGATTCAAAACAAGCAATACCAAGTAAATTATTACATAAATGTATAATGGATATAACTCTAAAGTCTTTATAACCATGGTAACGTTTTCCAACAAGTTTATTAATTACTGTAGATAACTTCTTCCTCTTCTGACTACAAAAGTTCTTGTGACAAAGTCATGACCTTGTCTCTTATGCTTTCTTGTGATACAATAAAGTTGGATGATAAATGATAAATGACAAACATATGACATCATTTATTATCCTTTGTTTTAGGAATAGTAATATATTATAAGTAATAGTCGTCGTAGATACTTATGACGTAATCACTAGTTAAGTATTATTATCATTATAGTAATCGATTATGTAATTATCCTGTTTTTTTTTCTTTTCTTTTTACGTTAAAGAATGACACTTTTTTTTACAACTTCATTTACAGTGTACTTTATATGTATATACATATAGGTGAAGTCATTTGTACGAATAGTCACGTGAATGTAAATGAAAAGGTAATTCTGTATGAACAGGGAATTTTGATCTTGGATAAACACACACACACACTCTCTCTCTCTCTCTTTCTCTTGGAACACTGATTCGGTGATTTTTGAAACTTGACATTGGCTTATGAGAATGTTTTAAAAAATGTGTTACAGAATTTATGTGAATTGATAAATGTTCAATAGAGTGGATTGCTGAGGAGTCTCATATTAGGACAAAATGGCCATCCAGGGTTTTCAGGTTTTCTATGGTAGTCTAGCTTTATTTGATTTATGAACTCAACTATTAATAACGAATAAATAGTATCATAGGAAATCACCCAAATGCGTAACAAGGTAAGCCCTCACATGGAGTCCTGAAGGCCAAAGGAAAAGAGGAAGACCTAAGAACACATTACTCCAAGAAATGAAGACAGACATGAGAAGAATGAACAAAAATTGGATAGAACTAGGATGGAAAGCCCAGGACAGAGTGAGTTGAAGAGTGCTGGTTGGCGGCCTATGTTCCATTGGGGGTGAAAGGCGTAAGCAAGTAAGTAAGTAAATAGTATCATATAACTCATTAACCAAATGTAAATTTATTCATCTAAATCTTAACCAAACTGTTTGTATGAAGATTGGTTGTGATATCCAAATATCCAGATGATAATAGGGCTATTGGAGTTCAAACTTGCAACATTATAGTTGAAAGCTCAATGTCTCAATCACTGAGTTACGCAGAATTAACTTGATGATATAGTGATGGAATACAAATGATTTTCGACTACTTAATTACAAGTACT